GGGATGTGGCTCAAGTGGTAGCACGCTCGCCTGGCATGCGTGCGGCCCGGGTTCGATCCTCAGCACCACATACAAAACAAAGATGTTGTATCCGCCGATAACTAAAAAATAAATATTAAAATTCTCTCTCTCCTCTCTCACTCTCTCTTTAAAAAAAATATTAAAAAAAAAAAAATAAAAAAAAAAATAAAAAGCACAATGAAGTATTATTGATATAATGGGCAACATAAAGGTGGAGGGTGGGGGTGGAGGGTGTAGTTGACTTACATAATGGTGAGATTCACTATGGTATATTCGTCTGAGTAGACAACTATGGGGTGGAGTAGAAAGAATAGTTTAAATTTCAAATTTCTGAGAGGATCAGGGAAGGCTGTGATAAGGAAGTGGCACTTTTGCAGAGACCTGGAGGAAGAACGGAAGTTAGAGTGAAAAGCTTCTCACAAGGAAGGACCATCATAGACAGGGGAAAGAGTAGGCTTCCGAAAACCAAGAGAAAGGGCTACAGCTCAGTAAGAGGATAGAAAGGCGTAAGATGAAGCAAGAAACAGACAAAGGCACCTTTGTTGAATCATTGCTGGTTTAATACAGAAAATGTGAGATGACAGATACAGGATTCTAGTGGTGGGTAAAAATAAATTAGGAATCTGAGCATTCTTAGGGCATCCTCTTTGCTTAAGTAGAAGTGCAGGCTTGGTCCCCAATTCTGCTTAAAGCCATAATCAACAGGAAAAAGCAACTTGAGGAATTCTTGTGTCCGTCAGTGGTGCTGCAGGAGGTGAGGTGGGGTGCAGACTGTGTATCCTAGGCAGACATTTAACCACTGAGCCACATCCCCAGCCCTCTTTATTTATACTTCATTTTGAGACAGGGTCTTGCTAAGTTGCTCAGGGACTCACTAAGTTGCTGAGACTGGCCTTGAACTTTCCATCCTCCTGGCTCAGCCTCTGGAACCCACTGGGATTATAGGCATGCACCACTGCACCTGGTGAAAATAAACTCTTGGAAACAAAACATGTCCACTTTAGCAGAAAAAGAAAATCCATTATCATTCTCCCTTTTCTATGAATAATAATGTTTATCAAGGGCCTTTTTAGTAGCCTTTTTAGTGACACTACTAAATGCACAGTATAAACTACCATTGATCCTCTCAGCAAAACTGCTAGGTAAATATTACCATCACCTTTAAGAAGATCAAGTTGAGGTCCTAAAAATCCAACAACTTGTCTAAGACCTCATAGCTAGAGAGGAGGACACACTGGGTTCAAAGCCAGGCCTCTGTGAATATGAAGTTTTTGTTTTGTTTTGTTTTTTAAATTGTTGTTCTTTTTATTCGTACAAAACATTAGGATTCATTTTAACATCATTATAAAAGCATGCAATATCATTTGCTCTAATTCAGTCCCCAGTAGTTCTCTTTTCCCTCCTTTTCTCCCTTTTCCTGTTCTCTTTACTATACTGATCTTTCTGCCATTTACTTTTTGTTTTATTTTTTAGTTACTTCCTTGTTGACATACATAATGGTGAGATTCACTGTGGTATATTCATCAGGTATATTCATAGGAAAGTTAGATCAGATTCATTCCATTATTCTTCCCTTATCCCATCTTTCTTCCTTCACCCTTAAACCCTTTTCTTCTACTCCACTGATCTTTCTTCTATTTTGATGGAATCCCACACACACCCCCACCCCCCGCTCTTTTTTTAAAATTTTCTTTTCTTTTTCCTTATTTCGGATTAGTTTCCACATATCAGCTTTCTAGGTCTGGCTTATTTCACTTTGCATGATAGTCTCCAGTTTCATCCATTTACTAAAAAAATGCCATAATGTCATTCTTCTTTGTGGTTTAGTAATATTCCATTGTGTATACATGCTGTATATCCTTTATCCATTCATCTGTTGAAGAGCACCTAGGTTGATTTCATAGCTTGGTTATTGTGACTTGTGCTGCTCTAAATATTTGTATGGCTGCATCCCTATAGTATACTAATTTTAGATCTTTGGGGTATACATCATGAAATGAGGTAGAATCATATGGTGGTTCCATTCCTAATTTTTTGAGGAATCTCCATTCTGCTTTCCAGAGTGATTGCACTAATTTGCACTTCCACCAACAATATATCAGTGTACCTTCTTCCCTACATCCTCACCAACACTTGCTATTATTTGTATTCTTGATAATTGCCATAAACTGAAGTGAGATGAAATCTTATGTAGTTTTGATTTGGGATATGAAATTTTTAACACTCTATCCTTTGCATTCGTTTCCTTTTGGTACTATAACAAAATACCACAAACTTCATGGCATAAAACAACAGAAATTTTCCATCTTTGCAATCTTACAATTCTGGATGTTGCTGCAAACTCACAGGGGCACTTTGGAAGATTTTAAATTTTCAATGGCAACAGCAGTTCTTGACATCTCTTGGACCCTGTGTAAACCACAAACTCCTAGCCAAGAGTAGCTCCTGGTCTCAACATAGATCATACTAGGTTCCTCTTGATGATGTCAGATCTTCATAAAGCTTGGTTTTTAGCAATTGCTGTGATAAAGAATAAGTGCCCCTTGAAAATCCATGTGGAATGGGAAATGGAGTCACGTTTCCAATCTGATTACAAAGTTTGAGAAGTTGTGCTGGGCCCAACATCCCATTATAAAATAATGGTGATGGACCTGAGACTTAAGTTGTTTGAACATACTTATGTACTAAATAGTACTATATGTCTTTTTTTTAAAAAATTAGGAATGCTATGAAAAAATTACTGAGACTCTGAGGGTTCTGGAGACTAAGTCTGAGAACCTCTGACATAATGAATTAACAGTAAAAACTACACTATCTGAATAAAAAGAGAGAGAATACATGTTAGGATACAGAATTAATGTATATAAAAGGATGGAAAACATAGCATTGCAAATGCAAACCCAAATAAGGCTCAATTAGCAAATGTGGCAGTATGAGAATCTTGTCTTTAAATTATCATTATGTGTTTACATTTAAAATATTTATTAATATATAAGGGATTAAATTTACCATTTTGTTATTTCTTTTTAAATTCATCTCACCAATAAAGTAGACCAAGTAGAATTGGAAGAAAGATTTATTAGTAGAAATAGAGTTATTTTATTATGATGAAGGGTTGATCTTCCACAAAATATAGCAATTCAATTTTTATGACCTAACAACATAACCTTAAAATATATAAAATAAAAGATGGATAAAATTAGAAGGAGAAATAGACAAATGTATAATAAGTTGGAATTTTTTTATTTTATTTTTTTAATTTTTCTTTTACTGGAGATTGAACCTAGGGGCACTTACTTAACCACTAAGCCACATCCCCAGTCCTGTTTTTGTATTTTATTTAGAGATAGGGTTTGGCTGAGTTGCTTAGGGATTTACTAAATTCCCTCAGCTGGCTTTGAACTTAGGATCCTCCTGCCTCAGCCTCCCAAGCCACTGGTATTACAGGCAAGTTGGAATATTTTAGCACAACTCTTTTAGCATCTGGTAGAATAAGAAAATCCTCCCAAATCAAGAAGTATCTCAAAGACTTGAAAAATTATGATTAACAGATCAGGCCTCACTGACATGCCCAAATTCCTGGGCCATTACTGTGGTACACATTTTTTACAAGTTCATGTACTACAGTTGCATCAGCTGACCACATGCTGAACCATAAAACAAGACTCAATTTCAAGAATAGCTAATAAATACGTGACTTTAAAAATTCCTCAAGTGTTCATAAATTATGCAAAACACTTACAAATAAACCATGACTCAATGAAGAAATCACAACAGCAATTATCCAATATTTTGAACTGAAAAAAAAGCAATACATTAAGATTTGTAGAATATAGTCAATCTACACCTAAAACAAAATTAATAGTCTAAAATGCTAATTTTAGAAACTCTTATAAACTGAAAATTTTTAAACTCTCAGTAACCATATCAAGAAATCACTTTAAAAAAATAACAGCAAATAAATACAAAGAAAATAGCAGTAAAAATTAAAATAAGATCAGAATCAATAACACCAAAGTTCTTTCTTTGAAGATTAATACAAATGTCCTCCTGCCTCAATCTACCCTTCAAAATTCAAATTAATTAGTGGAATTGTGGGACGAAAAGAAATTTAAAAAGAAAGAAGATTTCCAAAGCTAAAGTAAAAGGATAATATTTTTCCAACAGATATTTCTTCTTGATTATTTGTTGTCTGATTCTAAATGACATTTTTATTACCGTGACTTAATCTGGTAGGCCTTAGGGAAGATAGTTAAGCCTAGTATTTAATTCAGAACATACATCAGAAAACATATGCTTTCACACAGTAGAATGAAGGGGACATAACTTCCCTATGTACATATATGAGTACGCGACCAGTGTAGCTCCACATAATATACAACCACAAGAATGGGATCCTAATTAGAGTAAGTTATACTCCATGTATGTCTAATATGTCAAAATACACTCTACCATTATGTATATCTAAAAAGAGCAAATTAAAAAAAGAAAATATATACTTTCACAAAATGAAGTACAGCTTTAGTAGTTGAGTTTTGTCTATTTTCCCTTTGGTAACCGACTTTCAACATTGTTAACTCCTACTGAGGGCAAGAGAAGGGTCTTCTATGCCCACTGGATCTGGGGGTGCCACCAAGAGCGAGGAAGATTGGTGAAATGCATGAAGCATCCTGTTACAGGATTAGAAAGATAAGGGAGATGGGCTGGATGAAACCCAAGCTCGGGCACTTTCTGATTGACTAAAACTTGAAGCTGGGAATTGGATTTCTTTTTCTATGAGAGACTTTTTTAGTGGGTGGATACTGATAAAGTAATTTAAAATCTCCTTTCGAAGATTCCTACTAAAAGAATGGATCTCTTGCCGTTATAAAAGTGTTCTTTTTCTTCTTCAATTGCATCTATAAAGTATATGGAGAGAAAGAGGAAATGGAGTAGAAGTTCCTCATTAACTTGGATGTTGCTGTGGTCTTGATCTCCAGGTCAATGCAAGGCCCCAGAGTGGTTTCCATTTGCCAAGCCTGAAAGTCCAACTGATGAATCTGTGTTTCCCATTGGGACTCCTTTGAAGTATGAATGTCGCCCTGGTTATATCAAGAGACGGTTTAATATCATTTGCCAAGAAAACTCAGTCTGGACAAATGCCGAAGACAAGTGTAAACGTGAGTAACTTGAATGGACATTTCTTTGGGTCAGTCAAACATTTGTAAAGTCTGATTCAATCTGTTCAAATCTTGAAACTAAGACGCATATGACTTCATAACTTTGCCCAAGGTACAGTACATGTAAGTTGTTCTTGTAGAGTATGTCTCCTTGCTCCTTTGAGTTCTTGGCACCTCTATTATTAGTTCATTTCATGAAAAGTGATCATCACAAGGCAGGAGGGAGGGAAAAATTCCTATTCACCAGGGGTGTCCTGCTTTCACAACCACAGCTAAGTAGTAATTGATTCTGAAGGAAAGAATAACTAAGAAATGAGAAGTTCCCAGGCTCTGAGGCCTGTATCAGTCTGGCTGAACTACAGAGTTGTAATACTTTGATATTAAATGAAGTGTACATGTCTCTGAGAGCCACCGTGTAGGGATAAGAAAGAATTGAAGGGGGGTCCTTTTCAAAGTGATGCTTACCTGGTGGCTGAGCCTGAGGCAACCTGGTGAGTTTCCTCAAAGTGGCAAAATCTATAGAGTCATCATAATTACATATGCTCTACAGTCAACTATAGTCAGGTCGGGACTTATTTTTTAATGTTATTGGTGCTTTATACTTATACATAATGTGGAGTTCCTTGTACATATCCATATATGCACATAACATCATTCATTCCCTAGTACCTCCGTTTCCTTCCCCATCTCCCTTCCCCTGCTTCCCCATTCTCTGCTCTTTTGGTCTTTTTATTTATTAGCATGTGCACATTTCTTCATTGGTGCATTGTAATTATTACTAAAAGTGGTGGGTTAGATCCACCAATGGTCATTGTAACTAACTATTCTACTGCTTAATAATTATTCAGAAGAACCGAAATCAGCACATCACAGGGACGCATGCATTCCACATGCATATCACAGTGCAGTTCACAAGAGCCAAGTTATGGATCAGCCTTGCTGTCCATCAATAGATGAATGAATAAAGAAAATAAGGTGGGGAGACACAATGGAGTTCTACTCAACCATAAAGAAGAATAAAATTATATCACTTGTGGGTACATGGGTGGAACTGGAGAAAATCATGCTAAGTGAAATAAGCCAGACTCAGAAAGTCAAGGGTCAAATACTTTCCTTCATATGCAAAGCTAGAGAGAAAAAGAGTAATAATAAAAAGGGAGTATCTCAGGAAAATGATATGGAGATCAAGGAAGGACAAGGGAAGGGCAAGAGGAAGAACTGTAGAATAAAATTGATCAAGTTAAGCTATATGCATGTGTAGATATACCATAGGTTGGAATTTTATATGCTAAAAAAAAGGTTCAGATTACTTTACCTGGATCTAAAATTCTGTTTCCTTCCCATAGGTAAAACATGTAAAAATCCTTCAGATCCTTTGAATGGCATGGTGCATGTAGAGTCAGACACACAATTTGGATCCAGAATTACTTATACTTGTAATACAGGGTGAGTTGGCAGCAATATCTCTTAGTTCAAGAGTTCACAAAGAGCAAAACCACCTTCTAGTCACATCTCAGAAAGAGCAACTTTTTGGTCTTAAAAGGCTTGGACATATGTATTCATCTCCTGATTCAAATAACCAAAAGTATGACATAATTAAGGAGAAATGTGTATCCTGGCTGGAAACCAGGGCGGTACATATGTTAGACAGCTTTCCATGACTGTGATAAATTAGGAGATAATCAACTTAAAAGAAGGAAAGGTTTATTTTGACTCATGGTTTGAGAAGTCTCTATCCATGTTTAGTTGGCTCCATCCCTTTGGGCATGTGGTTAGCAACCCTAAACCAGAGTAGATATTATTGGAAGAAAAGGAGATAAGAAATATGAATGGTAACAATGCTATTGGTTTGTTAGGGCTGCCATAAAAAAGTGCCACAAAATGTTTGGCTTAAAACAACAGAAAATTTTGGAATTCTGTTCTGGAGATTAGAATCCCAAATCAAAATGTTAGCAAGACTGTGCTTCTTCTGAAACCTCCAGAGGAGAAATCTTCCATGTCTCTTCCAGCTTCCAGTAACCATAGGCCTTTCTGGGCATGGGCAGCATCACACCAGTTTCTGTCTATTGACCATACGTGCCCATCTTCCCTGTGTCTCTCTTCATGTGGAATTCTCTCCTTGGTGCATAATTACATCTAATGTTCTCTCTTTTTATAAGAACACCAATGTTGGATTAGGGCTCACTCTAAAGACTTTATCTTAACTCAGTTACATCTGCCAAGACCCTATTTCCTAATGAAGTCACATTCCCTGGGACTGAGGTTTCTATATCAGCATGTCATTTTGAGAACACAACCCAATCCATAAGAGCATCCCCTTTGAATACGTTGCCCATCAAGTGGTCATCGAGCATGATCCTGTGGTTGGTTCTTTCTCCTGGCTGAACACACAGTGAAGGCACTGCTTCAGCTCACTCTTAATGTTAGGCAAGTTAAAAATATGAGCTAGGGCTGGGGATGTGGCTCAAGCGGTAGTGCACTCGCCTGGCATGCGTATGGTCCGGGTTCGATCCTCAGCACCACATACAAATAAAGATGTTGTGTCTGCCGAAAAATAAAAAATAAATATTAAAAAAAATTCTCTATCTCTCTCGCTCTCTCTTAAAAAAAAAAAAAGAATATGAGCTAAACTTGTGCTGCCACATGAGCACCAAAGAAAAAGTAGGTAATCGAGTTTCAAAATCTTTTTAAATGTTTGTTTTTTAAAGAATGCTATCAAGAAAATGAAAATATAACCTACAAATAATGAAAAATATTTGCAAATTGTAGATCTTATAAGATAATGTATCCATAATATATAAAGAGCTCTGACAACTCTACAATAAAAGATAAATACCTCAATTTTAAAAAAAGCAAAAGATCATGTTGGCATTCTCCAATATATGTAAATAGACTGAAAAACATAAATAGTAATTAATAAAACTTCTTATGGCCAGGCTTGATGGAGTATGCCTGTAATCCCAGCAACACGGAAGGTTGAGGCAGGAGGATTGTAAATTCGAGAAAAGCCTCAGCAACTTAGAGAGACCCTAAAAAATCTATTGAGACCCTGTTTCTAAATAAAATATTAAAAGGGCTGGAGATATGACATGGTGGTAAAGCACCTCTGGGTTCAATCCCTGGTACCAAGAAAAGAAGAAGGAGAAAAGAAAGAAAGAGAGAGAGAGAGAGAGAAGACGGACTTGGGATGCAGCTCACTGGTAGAGCACTTTCTTAGCATACATAAGACCCTAGGTTTGATTGCCGGCACTGAAAGAAAAAAAAAATCAACCATCTATATACCTCAAGAAACTAGAAAAATGAACAAAGTCAGCAGATATAAGGGAGTAATAAATATTAGAGCAGAAGAAATGAAACAGGGGCATACAAAATAGAAAAGAACAAAGAAACTAAGAATTGATTTTAAAAAGATAAACCAAAAAAATATATATATATATTAGTTGGACTAAGAAAAAAAAGACCCAAATAAAATTATAAATGAAATATAGAACATACTACTAATTTCACAAAACTACAACAGATCATATGAGACTACTCTTAATAAGTACATGCCAACAAATTGGATAACCCGGAAAAAAAAGTGGATAAATCCATTTTCTTATCAAAGCTGAATCATGAAGAAATAGAAAATGTGGACATACCAATAACAAGTATGGTGTTTGAATTAGTAATCAAAATTCCCAACTCAGAATTCCCATCAGCTCAGAATCTGATGGCTTTCTTGGTGAATTCTGCCAAACATTTAAAGAAGGAATTAACAACAGCACTTTTCAAATTTTTCCAAAAAATTGGAGATGACGGAAATTTTCAAACTCATTTTATGAGGCCAACATTACCTTAATACCAAACCCAGACAAGGGCGCTACTACTTAACAACAAGAAGAAAGTACAGGTCACTTTCCCTGATGAACATCAATGCAAAAATTCTCTATGAAATACTAACAAGCACAGTTCAACAGGACATAAAAAGTATCATACTTCATGATCAAGTGGGATTTATCTCTGAAATGCAAGGATGATTTGATATGCATAAATCAACAAATGTGATATACCACATTAGCAGAATTAAGGGCTTGAATAATATGACCATTTCATCAGATGCAGAAAAAGCATCAGACTAAATTTAGTATCTCCTCATAGCAAAAACCCTCAACAAATTAGGTATAGAAGAAGGCTACATATAGCTGAGCCCACAGCTAATATCATACTCTATAGTGAAAAGCTGAATGGGTTTTTTTTTCTAAGATCAGGAACACAAGGTTGTCCAGTCTCACCACTTTTATTTAATATACTATAGCCAGAGCAATTAAAAGACATCCAAAAGTGGAAAGAAAGAAGCAAAATTTTCTCTTTGTGCAGATTACACTCTTATATAGACAGAATCCTAAAGACTTCAATGAAAAACTATCAGAACTAATAAATTCAGTAAAGTTGAAGGGTACAAAGTCAACATACAAAAAAGTAGCATTTCTGTACACTAACAATGAAATATCAAAAAAATGAAACCAAAGAAATCATGCCATTTACAAGAGCACCAAAAATACAATGAAATACTTACAAATAAATTTAATCAAGGAGGTGAAGGATCTGTACACTGAAAACTATAAACACTGATGAAAAATTTGAAGAAGACAAAAAATGTATGGAAAGGTATATTGTACTCATGGATTAGAGTAATTAATTAATTTTGTTAAAATGTCCATACAAATTCAACGCAATGCCTCTCAAAATTCCAATGACATTTTCCCAAGTAATAGAAAAACAATCCTAATATTCATATGGAAATATAACGACAAACAAACAGAAAAACACAAATAGACAAACCAGTCTTACACACAAAAAAATCAAAGCTGGGACTCCATAGCTGATTTCAAAATATACTACAAAGCCATAACCATCAAAACAGCATGAGAAGAGCCATTACCACGTGATCTTACGTGTAAAATGTAAAGGCATTGAACTGGTAATAGCAGAGCAGAACAGGTTGCCAGGGCCTTGGAAGGAAAGGAGACAGGGAGATGCTGAACAAAGGGTACAAAGTTTCAGTTTGGTTTAATAAATTATGGCAATCTGTCATACAGCATGGTGATTACAGTCAATAATAATGTATACTGGAAAACTCGAAAGAGAAAGGTCTTAAATGTTCTCATAAAAAACATGGTAGATATATGAGATGACAGAAATATTAACCAGTTTGATTTAATCACTTCCCAACGTAGAAATATATCAAAACGTGCTATTTTATTTGTAGAATAAAACAAATACTATTTTTATTTTTAGAATAAAACAAAAATAAATATTGATGTTATGGTATTTTTAAAAAAAGAAAGAAAGTAATACAGTTGTAGCATTAAAACTTTCAAGTTAAATAAATCTCTCTATTTCCTGAAAATGTCCTGAAGTTTCAAGATTGTAAACTCTGGGAAGGAGCAACTGAAGCAGATAGATTTCCTCTGTTGTTGTTTTTTTTTTTAATATTTATTTTTTAGTTTTAGATGGACACAATATCTTTATTTTATTATTATTATTATTATTTTTAATGTGGTGCTGAGGATCAAACCCAGTGCCTCACGCATGCCAGGCGAGCGTGCTACCACTTGAGCCACATCCTGAACCCTCCTCTGTTTTTAATATGTAACATTCCTTATTCTCTGCTTCTAGGTACCGACTCATTGGCACCTCCAGTGCTCAATGCGTGATCTCAGACACTACTGTCATTTGGGATGAAGAAGCACCTATTTGTGAAAGTGAGTTGAGATATTCCTTTCTATCACTATTACAATTAGATTTTAATTTTCCTCTGGAATTGTCATTTTTATTTACTGTGGTGCGGAATGGAGCCCAGGGCCTCCCACATGCTAGGTAAGTGCTTTTCTGCTGGACTACATTTGAGTCTTGCAAGGAATTATAAAAGTCTTCAACAACTGCCCTTTGTTCATTCTGTCCTTGAGAGGACTGAAGACACTGAATGCTGTCAGACACTCCCATGGGATTCTTGACAACTTCTTCATTAAATGATCCCTTAACCTAAGAAGTGCATTTTCTAAATTGGGGTCTTCAAAAAAAAAAAAACAAAAAAAAACTTCTAATCATATTTTTTATTCAATTAATTTGTAATTATACTGGTTCACAGTCTCCAAAATAGTAATCATTCTGCTTGGAAAATTAGTAGAGACTTTAAAACATTTGTTCTTCAAGGTTAGTGAAGCTACAATGGACCCGAATTCTCATGGACTGAGGATTCAACAAAACTTCTTGAAATGCATGATGCCCTATACACCTTTAAGTGGGAATTTATTTTAACCCACATTTTAGGATTTATACTTATGATATAATAGATTTTTCTCAAGGAGTTCACTATAGACTTTTGATTACAGCATTCTTTATAATAAATGTTAAATTTAGTAAAAATGTTAAAGTAACCCAAATGCATGGCATGTTTCAAATCATGGTTTAGAAATAATGTACTGCAAGGCAAATGATACGTTAAAAATGACTATAAAAAAATTTCCTGAGAAACATAAAATAGCCATGCAGATTCAGAATATACATCCATACACTGGAGTGTTATGCAACCATAAAAAATATAGCTATTACAGAGAAACCCTTGAACTACAAAGATGTATATTTCATGTGAAAAAGAATCAGAAGACAGACCATATGTATGGTAAGATCTCATTTTATTAAAAGATAATAATCTATACCTAAATCTATTTTTTATTTCTTCTCTAATAACTTAATTTAAAAAAAAAAACAGCTTCCAGTCCCCCTGGGGAAAGCTAGAAGGAGACTTAATATTGGGGTTTTGGTTATGTGTGTAGTAATTTGCGTTCTGAAGCAGATCCAGTCTCCCATTCATTAGAACTGCTCTAGGTCTGTGAACTAGCTAAGTCTGGGGATTGCTTAATGAACCATGACTCTCTCTTTTTTGGGGGGAGGGGTGGGTGCTGGGATTGAACTGAGGAGCACTTGACCACTGAGCCACATCCCTAGCCCTATTTTGTATTTTAGTTAGAGACAGAGTCTCACTGAGCACCTCGCTTTTGCTGAGGCTGGCATTGAACTCAAGATCCTCCTGCCTCAGCCTCCCCAGCCACTGGGATTGCTAGCATGCGTGCACGGCCACGCCCAGCCACAACTCTCTTTTGCAATGATTCAAGCCACACTTCTATTCACTAGACCCAGCTCTCTGTTTACACAGACCAAAAACATGCTGTGGTTAATTCCAGTGGACACACCTATTCAAATGGCTCAAAATAATCTGCGTTTTCCTAATGACTTGCAATGCTAAGTATCTTTTCATATGCTTATGAAGTGCCTGTTTGAACCTTGTGCCTATTATTGATTAGTTCATATTTTTTTTTTATTTTGTAGGAGTTCTTTATATATTCTCATATCTCCCAATAAATGTAACACAAATATTTTCTTTTAGGTTTTTTTTAACTTTCTTATTGATTTTTGATGATGGAAGTTCTGCATTTCAATAGTGTTCAATTTATGAATTTTTCTTTTCTAGTTACTGCCTTTTTCTGCTGTCCTCAAAAAAATCTTTATCTGTTATTAAGATATTTTCCCTTGTTATACTCTAGACATTTGGGTCTTTCATGTTTAAGTCTGAGATTCAGCTCGATTTTATTTCATTTTTATGTATGGACAGTGCGTAGTATGGTCAAGATTTGGGATTTTGTTTGTTTTTCCAAGTGGATCAGCCATTGATCTAATACCATTTCTTTAAAAGCCCATTCTTTGAATACTACAATGTCACATTATCATGACCATGAATGTTATAGATATGCCACATGACCACTTCTCATTCTTAGCATGACCTCCTAGAATTTGGGCCTGCTTTAAGCCCTCTAATTAAGAACCCTTCATGAGAAAATTGCTTGGGTCACAACCTGGATCTCGATAGATTTTGATCCACAGATCTCCCCCTCTCATCATAATAACTTATCTCCGTGTGACCTTGGCCTATACCATGTACCCCAAGGGCCTATAAGTAATAAAATCTTTGTTTACAACTTTTATGGATCTTAATCATTGAAAGGGTGCTCTCTCTCTTATAGATCCTAAATTAAAACTCTAAATACCCACATATGAGCTCTTTCTTGTGTGTTCCCTCATTATTGCACTTCTATGTTAATTTTCCTTCAGTATGAAGAAATCCTTTTGGCATTTTTGTATTGTAAGTCTTCTAGCAATCGTTCTTTAAACGTTTTCCTAATTTTGGTTCCTTTGAAGATTATCATCTCTATTTCCTTAAGGTTGATTGTACTTGATTTTTTTAAAAATTTGTACAATAATATTATTGCCTCTGCATTTTTCCCATAGCTTTATTGAGGTAAAATTGAAGTACAATAAAAGGCACATATTTGAAGTATGCAATTTGATCAGTTTTGACATGCATGTCACCAATACAATCAATATAGAAAGCATTTCCATTTGTACTTGATTTTATAATATTCCTCTGATGTGGGATTGCTTTGAATTTGTATTTCTTGGGCTTGTGTGGCTTCTTGAATCTGTTTTGATGATATCATTTATGAGTTTGGGAAAATTCTCAGTCATTACTTCTTTAAATGTTGTGTGTGCTATTAGCTCTCCCCTCTGGCTGTAGGACACCATTTACATGATGTTAGGCTGTATCTCTGTATTATTATTATTTTATAATAATAGGCTGTATCTCCTATTATTTTTTCTCTATTTTTCTATCTTTTCATCTCTTTGTGTTTTGTTCTGAGTATTTTTTTCTGGCTTAGTTTCCAGTTCATGGATTTTTCTTAAACTGTGTCTAATGTGCTATCAATCTGATACAAATGCTTTATTTCAGAAATTGTATTTTGCAATTTTAAAATTTTTATTTGGTTCTTTTTCAATTTTTTCTTGTTCTTTTTAGCAGTTTCTAGTTCCTATCAAAAGTTTATTTTATATGTTGTATCCTTGAATAGGTAAACACAGTTATTTTAAATCTATAAATGGAAATTCCAATGTCTATAGCCCTTTTGGATTAATTTCTAGCATCATTGATTTTGTTGCTTCTCATTCAGGTTATTTTATCTCTGCAAGTACCTGATTATCTATTACTTCGTATCAGGAATTATATTTGGAAACTTGTCTGCAGAATTATTTTCAAAGTCTTCAATAATTTCAAGGTTTTAGATAATGTCATTTGTCAGCATTCCATGACTATAATGAAATACCTGAGGTAATCTACTTATAAGTCAACAGATTTATTTTGATTCAGTTTTGAAGGTTCCAGTCCATGATGAGTAGAGCCATTGCTTTGGGCCTTTTAAGATGCAGCATATCAAGGCAGAGCTCATAACACAACAAAACGGCATACATCATGAGTCAGTGAACTAAAAACAGAGAGGATGATATTGAGGTCCCATAATCCCCTTCAAAGGCACACCCCCCCAATGACCTAAGGACCTCACACTATACCCTGCTTCCCTGAAGTTCCACTGCAACAGACCCACCCTGTATACCAAGCCTTTGACACTTGGTCCTTTAGGAGATATTACCCATATCCAAGCCATAGTAATCACAAGAAGATTTTTATTGTTTTTCTCTTCCAGGCACCAGGGAACACTAGCAACCTGGGACCGCTTTTATTCAGTCTCAGGAACTATGATTTTTCTAGGCCACCTACAGTACTAGAAGAATAGTTTCAGTTTTTGAGAGCGAAAGTTTACTTTCAATTAACTTCAGTTCCCAGATGCTTAGTTCTTTGTCATCCCAGAACTGTAATGTTTGTCCCTTGATTTTGCAAGACTATCAAAAGTCTACTTGGCCTCCCAGTTGCCTCCTCCTGATTCACCTGCCCCTTCCCAAGGGAAAAGCAACCCAAATGCTCAGCTCATACCTAGATATTCAGCTCTGGGCCCATCAATGCTTTGCCAATTGTTTGCCTCTGATGCTTCACAGATTATATATATATATATATATATATTTTAATTTCCAGCATTTCTAACCTTTCTTCAGGGGGAGAGAAGAAGCATTGTTTGATTCACATTATTGAGATGACCACTACAGAAGCAGAAACCTTCTTGAGAATTTCAATTTTTCATTTCAAGTGTTTTAGGGTATTGGTTGAAGTTATTTAATTCTAGTTTATAGCAATACAATAGACTATGCAAAACTTTTATATTTTATATGTACTTAGGGGCTTTAGTGAACAAATATATGATCACGTTTACATAGATATGATCTCAAACTTAGGCTTGATAACGAGAATTGATAAGGTTTCTATCTTTTATGTGGTGTGAAATGTTTGGAGTTACATTTAGAAGTATGTGTTTCTTGGAAGTTTGGTAGAACTTATCTGTCATTTTTTTTTTCTTTTATTCTTACAAGTTTCTTGGCCAATTGTAGCTTACTACATCTTTTTGAATGGATTTTTTTTTAAAGAGAGAGAGAGAGAATTTTAATATTTATTTTTTAGTTTTTGGCGGACACAACATCTTTGTTTGTATGTGGCGCTGAGGATCGAACTGGGGCCGCACGCACGCCAGGCGAGCGCGCTACAGCTTGAGCCACATCCCCAGCCCCTTGAATGGATTTTGATAATTCATATCATTTAGATTTTCAAAATGTTTAACATACAGTAGTCTACAGCTTCATAAATACTCACATATATTATAAATATGTTCATATTCTATTTCCTACTCTCATATGTGTGTTTTCTCTCCTTTTATGCTTCTTCTTTTAGCACACGTTTTTATATTTTAAAAAAGCCATACTCAGTTAACAACAAAAATAGAAATTAATGAAGCAAGTTGGAAACAGGAAAACTGTGTAAACTCTAATATGATAAATAACTATTTAAAATGAAAAGAGGGTGGGTTGTATTAATAAAAATGTGTATTTTACAGGAAATATACAGAAAAGGTAGCACAGATGCTATTTTGCCCACCTAAAGTTAAACTTTGTAAGAACTTATTTACACATTAGCAAAGATAAAAAGCAGATAATGAATGTAAAAATAGTTAAGTTAGTGAGTCATTACATTTTTTCTCACTCATTATTTAAATTCATTCTCATTTAGCTTGTTCTCCTTTTGCCCAGGAATTCCTTGTGAGCCACCTCCGGCCATTGCCAATGGAGATTTTGTTAGCTCTAACAGAGAATATTTCCTGTACGGAATGGTGGTGACCTATCACTGCAATAATGCAGACAGAGGGAGAAAGCTGTTTCACCTCGTGGGAGAGCCCTCCATATACTGCACCAGCCATGACAATCAAGTTGGCGTCTGGAGCGGCCCTCCCCCACAGTGCATCGTACCTAATAAATGCACCCCTCCACACGTTGAAAATGCAATAATGCTAACTGAAAACAGAAGCTTATTTTCCTTAAATGAAATAGTGGAGTTTGGATGTCAGCCTGGCTTTGTCATGAAAGGACTCACCCGTGTGCGGTGCCAGAATCTAAACAAATGGGAGCCGGAGTTACCAAGCTGCTCCAGGGGTGAGTCTGGATTAGCTTGAGAGGGACCTAAAGGGCATGAGTTGTTGGTGGACTGGGAGATTAATGTGTGCTCTGGAGAGGGATGTGTAGTGCATTTTCTTGGATAAGTAAATTTTCTTGGGAGGGAACATGAAATAAAAGTGTGTGTGTGTATGAGAGAGAGAGAGAGAGAGAGAGAGAGAGAGAGAGAGAGAGAGAGAGAGAGAACATGCACATATGTTCATATTGGGAAGCAAAGCTAAGTCTGAGCAAGGAATATGATATTTCTTTGGGATTCTCCAACCACCACTCCCCCTTGGGATTCTTACAAACAGAGGTTCTCTACAGATATCACTACCCCACCTCCAGCCTCTAACCTCCAGCCTCTACTGATTTCACTTGAGTTTAATAATTGCTAAAATGTACCGAGTGATTCATCTGGCCAGGTGCCATATTACAAGCTATGTGTATATTTAGTACTTAAAGCCATGAGATAATTACTATTCTTTCCATGTTTTACAGAGATAACAGGTCTTAGAGAGGTTAGATAACTTTTCAAAGTGAAGCAAAATATGAGCTTGCAAACTGAAGACTTGAACCCAAGTCTGTCTGTCTGTCTCCAGAGCTTTGGCTCTGCCTGTCATCATCCATTAAGGAAATCAAAAACCACTTTGGATTCTTCAAAGGATGAGGGTTTTCATGCAGGAATTGAATTCTAAAGATGTTGGAAATTCAGGAAGAGCAAAGGAAAAAGAAAGCAGTGTTTCCAGAGATTGGGGAGCTGCTGTCACTCCAGGACTGGAGCACACATGCCCATACTCACTGTTGAACTGGGCAGTCCCTGCTGCTGCTGCAGGTGCCACCACTGCTTCCAGGATGCGGTTGATCTTACTGAAGCCAAGGTCTTTGGCATTGCTGATACTAAGAGCTGTCAAAGCTCCACTACTGGAGCCACCCCTAGAAGTAGAATGGCTTGTCATCTTCCTGACTTTTAATTTGGTGCAAATACTTCCAATTGGCAGAACAAACCACAGCTTAGCTAGCGTAGGATTGTGACTTTCAGGCAAGAAAAAGATTATAGAAATGTGAAGCCAGGTATGGTGGCCTGTGCCTATAATCCCAGCAGAAGGGTGAAGCAGAAGATCTCAAGTTCAAGGCCAACCTCAGTGACTAAGTGAGGCGTTGGCAACTTAGTGAGACCCTGTCTCAAAACAAAAATTAAAAAGGGCTGGGGATGTGGCTCAGTGGTTAAGTGCCCCTGGTTCACTCCCCAGTACCAAAACAAACAACAAACAAACAAAAAAAGTGTAAAGTTTGGGGTCAAGCACAGTTTAACCAGCCCATCTCCTCAACATCACATCACAGTACATCTACCAGTCAAGGAAAACTCGGGTGATGAGCCTTGAAAATGGACATTACAACATCAGAATATTTGTAAAGTCCTTAAGAAAGTCATGTTTTCTAGGCCAGTTCCCCCACTGGAGAAAATTGAAGTCCACAGAGGGGAACCAACCTGCTCAAAGCCAAACTGAAATAAGGTGTTTTCTTTTTCTTTTTTTTACATTTTATAGCAGTGTTATCTAACTTCATTAAGACCCACATGCATCTGTATTCCCTGAGTTCAAGTCAATTGTATGAAGAGACAGCCAGAGGCTTAGTTACATTATCCTGGGGTGCAATATGCACTCTAGTTATGATGACTGTGGGTTCTTTAGAAGATTTTATTCAGTGCTCGTCCATCTACTCACCAGAATGAAATGAGTGGCTAAGCAGCACCAGCTATGTAGTGTAGAGAGGAGATGCTCAGTCACATCAGGTGACCACTGAGAGAAGACTTGACATCAGAACAGAGGTGTGCAACCTGTTGCTGATGGGGAAATTTGTTAGATGGGACTTGGGCACAGGCACTTTTATCACTAAAATGTGAAACTGCACAAGGGGGTGCCTTTCTAGAAAGGAAGTATGAAGATATAAGAACCCATCAATCCTAATAATGTTGTTCTGGATGAACAGAGATCGGAAGCATTCTAGAAGGAACTGTGTGCTGTGCATGTAGCCTTAGGTGTATACTTCAAAGGTAGAACAGTGATCTGAGTGTCAGTTCTAGCTACAGTTCTGCAGTGTGTAAGTTTTTTGACTTTTGGTAAAACACCTCCCTACCATGTTATGTTATGTTGTGTGTGTGTGTGTGTGTGTGTTTTACCATCAATAAATAAGGGTGTCCGTCCACCTTAGTTATGATTCTTTTAGCCAGTTCACCATTGAGGAAAAATGCTTTCATATGACTAACAGCACTTTGGTTTTCTTTCCCCAGTGTGTCAGCCACCTCCAAAAATCCTGCACGGCGTGCATACTCCAAGCAATAAGGATCAGTTTTCCCCTGGGCAGGAAGTGTCGTACAGCTGTGAGCCTGGGTATGACCTCCTAGGAGCTGCTCTTCTGCGCTGCACACCTCAGGGAGACTGGAGTCCGGCTGCACCCATGTGTGCAGGTGCCTAGATTATTGTCTGGCTTGACATTTTTAGCTTGTGTCTTCAATCTCCACACACACTACTATTATTTCTCTTTGGCTTTCTTTTTCCCTAGTGAAATCCTGTGATGACTTCCTGGACCAACTCCCCAATGGCCGTGTGCTAATTCCACTGAATCTCCAGCTGGGAGCAAAAGTGACCTTTGTTTGTGATGAAGGGTAAGTGTGAGCTTGCCTGACCTGCTGGCCCTCAAAGCTGAGATTAAGAGACTGTCCATACATTAAGATGTAGGAGGGAACCCACCTCCCCCGGCCATACCTTATCACTTCAGTTAATCCCTATCAGGGGATTAATTCACTAATTGGGTTAAGGTTCTCACAACCTAATCATTTCTCCTCTGAACCTTCTTGCATTGTCTCATGCATGAGCTTGTGGGGGACACCTCACATCTAAACCATGATATTAGCACACATGTAGCAGGGCACCAGGGCTCAAAATGCATTGAGAAATCTGGATTATTTCATACAAAAGTTGACTCCTCTTTTCTTTTCCCCTTTGAATAGTCAGACTTACTCATCAATAGCCCGACCTTCTGTTGTGAGCCTTCTTCACAGCCATCACAAGTGTAGAGACACCAGAACAATTTCCGTTCTCTGCTTTTTGATTCCAAACTGGGAGCTGATTTGCTTGTGCTCCAGGGTCAGGGTGGGGAAGAGGTTGCATTAAAAGGCTGGTTTGGGCGGGGCATGGTGGCACAGGCCTGTAATCCCAGCAACTTGGGAGGCTAAGGCAGGAGGATCTTGAATTCAAAGTCGGTCTCAGCAAAGGCGAGGTGCAAAGCAAGTCAGTGAGACCCCTGTCTCTAAAGAAAATACAAAATAGGGCTGGGGATGTGGCTCAGTGGTCAAGTGCCCCTGAGTTCAATCCCTGTACCAAAAAAAAAAAGGCCGGGTGGGGGGTTGGTTTGCAGCAGTGTGAGGGGTTCTGCTAGGTTCATCAAGGGATGATCAGTGAGGCTCTGAGTTTGGGTCCAGGGTTCAGGAGATAGCAGCTGCATCGTGACTGCCTCCTTCACTTCAAGCCAGGACTATTATGTGACCAAGTTGCTGGACTTCACCATTCTACGTTGCTCCCTGCAAGAAACTGTTTTTTTCCAGAATGACTTAACCTCTCACCTCTACCACCTGGTGGTTTCAGATTCTCAAAATTCTGATTTTTTTTGTGTGTGCGTGTATGGGGGGGGGGTGGAATGGGAGGCTGGGCCTCAGATTAAGAACTGAATGGCAGTTGTCAGAAACATCCACTATTCACTCCCTTTTTCTCCTTTAGGTTTCAATTAAAGGGCAGTTCTGCTAGTCATTGTGTTTTGGTTGGAATGAAAAGCCTTTGGAATAGCAGTGCCCCTGTGTGTGAACGTGAGTATGAGGAGTGACACTTTGAGCCAATCTCTCTCCTTGATTTGTGTCGTATTTTGACCCAGAGACTCCCAGGATATGGCTCTTCTGCTTTCTAGTCTGAAATTGATACAATTTCCTTATTTTAATAGTATGTTCTTCTGAATCATTATGTGTGTCTCTTGGTTTTGGAACCACTAAATCAGTCTGTTATTTTGAATTCTAAGTTCTGTGTCATATTTTCTGTGTAGTTTGCCATTAGATCAGAAAAGATTAGATGATGTGAACCTTTGACAAGACTCTTTTTCTTTTTCTTTCCTACTTCATTCCTTCCTTATCTACCTTCTCCCATCTTTTTTTTTCTTGTTTTGTTCTGCCATCAAGGTAGAGTCCCTTTATAGTTTTCCTATTCATTTTCTGATACACAAAAACATGCATTCATTTGAACAATTACTTATTGAGCAGATATTATGTGCCCTATGTTCATATAGGTGGTGGAATTGTAGCAGGGATCAAGATGAGCTAATTCCCTGTCCCTGTGTTATTTATACTCAAATGAGGAGGCAGCCAACAAAAAAAATAAATTAAATGCTATGGAGATAATAGATCACAGTAAAGTGGGAGAGTGGGGGAACACATTAGACAAGGTAGGCAATTTGATACTCCTTGAACTCTCATAATCTGTATCTAGGGGCTGGGTATATAGCTTAGTTGGTAGAGTGCTTGCTTCACATGCACAAGGCCCTGGATTCAATTGTCAGCACTACCAGAAAAAAAAAAAAATCTGTATCCACACAGAACATGCTGAGATTCAGAAATAACAAGCTGATTAAAAACTGAGTCTTATGTGTGCAGAGATACTACTGAATTCTCCTAGTTTCTCCATTTATATTTTGCTTCATTTCTTGATTCTAAAGATTGCCAGTACCATTTTCTTTTTAACAATCAAATTTTACTGAAATTTAGTGTTCTAAGAATCTACTTGTATATCTTATGGTGTTTTGATAGTAAAACTTGGTAAGAACTTACATAAATATAAATCTCTGCTGTCCAAGAAATCCAGTGTTCCTTGAAACCAGTGACAAATGACTGACCTACTGTCATGCATGAGCACACTGTTATTGATAGTACCACAGACTTTCTCTTTATGTAACACTATTACTGTTTGAAGTAGCTTCATTCAAATTCCAAGTCTAGTTAGAAATGCCAATTAGAAGTGAGGCAGAGACTGTTCTAAACTCAAAAGCTGATACCAGAAAGAAGCAACAATTTGAAACCTGACAGAAAATAAAGGAGGAAAAAAAAAACATATATCACAAACACATCAAGAGATTTTTTTTTTTTAAACTCTGAGTGCATTCAGAGTTTTTTACAGTGACTTGTGTATGTTTCAATGCATGGTGACAGCACTAGTCTCATAATTGAGATGGATGATCAATATCAGTAGGTTGTCCAGGAAGGTTTCAGGTATTTAAGGTGAGCAGTACACATGCAATACATGTTAGAAGAATTTCCTAGCAAGGTAAGCTCCGTGGAGGACAAATACCTGCTCTGTGCTTTTTACCACTGGATCTCCAGGGCATCGATGAGTGGTTGACACAGAATTAGTGCTCAATTAACATATGTTGAGTAAATGAATGAGTTACCCTTCAAAATGGTTATATTTTTTCTTTAAAACTCTGAGTACTTAATTAAAGACACAAAGTTTCTGTTATCCAGAAAACTCAGCTATCTGGAAAATATAGGATAAGCAATATTTTTCAGTAAAATTTGAGATCTCATTTTGTACAGTCTGCCAGTCATCTTAGCTTTTTTTTTGTACTGGGGATTGAACTCAGGTGCATTCAACCACTGAGCCACAACTTCGGCTTTATTTTATTTAGAGACAGAGTCTCATTGCATTGCTAAGTGCCTCGCCATTGCTGAGACTGGCTTTGAACTCACAATCCTCCTGTCTCAGTCTCCCGAGCTATTTGGGATTACAGGTGTGTACCACCGCGCCCAGCTTCATCTTAGCATTTTTAAAAGTGGCACCAATCATAGCCCCATACAATGGTAGAATACCTCTGACGAAATCCCTGAAAGAAACTGAAGCTCTTACCTTCTTTCCAGAAATCTTTTGTCCAAGTCCTCCAACTATCCTTAATGGGAGACACTCAGGAGCTTCTCTGGAAGTCTTTCCTTTTGGAACATCAGTGATTTACACATGTGATCCCCAACCAGACAGGGGGATCACCTTCAGCCTCTTTGGGGAGAGCACCATCCTCTGCACGAGCAACCACCAAGGGCATGGGGTTTGGAGTGGCCCTGCTCCTCGCTGTGTACTTCTGGGTAAGTGTATATTTCTCCATATCCCAAATGGGTTCTGAATCTCTAAACCAGATCTTCCAAATTTCTGCAATTACAGTGTGATATTTATTTGTGCACTTGACACAATTAAATGCCAAAGCAGTAATGAATGGTTCTAAGATATGTCAACATGTAAGATTTTCGTGGCCTTTACTGCCAGAGGGAAATTGGTAGTTGGTAGAAAGGTCCTTGATCAGAATTACAAAGAGCATAAGTTCAAATCATAAGAATCGAAAGCAAATTTCTATGACTCTTAAGTAGTGTAAGTCATACCATCTTCACAGGCTTTGGACAAAAGGATAGGCCAGCAGAGAATAAAGCCAGGCAAAAATCTATTTTAATGACCTAGTTGTATATACAGGGTCATATATAATGACCCTGTATATTCTCCTTGAAAAGTGGGCTGCATTGTAGACACACTGCAAAGATTCCTTTAGCCTCCTTGAGCTAAGTTCTTTTTTGTTTTGTTAGTTTTGTTTTGGGTACTAGAGATTTAACCCAGAGGTGCTTTAGCACTGAACCACATCCCCAGCCTTTTTTTTTTTTTTTTTTTTGAAACAGTGTCTTGCTGAGGCTAGTCTTAAACTCAAGGTCCTCCTGCCTCAGTCTTCCAAGCCTCTGGGATTACAGACGTCACCACCATGTCCAGCTCCTTAAGCTAAATTCTACATTAAAATAAGACTTATTTTCTCCTTAGATCCGGGCTAGATCTTAAAGCTTCTCAGTTCAGTGGAAAGAAAAAACAAGGGGAAAATGCAAAATAAAGAGATTTTTATTCATTTCTAACTTCTGGGGAAGGTTGATGAAGACAAACAGCCCCCCAAGACATTCACCTTTGAGGAGGTGAGGATAGAAAGGAGGAAGCAAATTGAAAAAGGGACCCTAACCTTGGCATAACACACACTGACCCCTGGGGAATAGTGAGAGAGCGGAATAACTCTAAAAGGAAAAGGACCAAGCACTAGTCACTCTGAAGTCATTTCCCCCCTCTCTCCCTGCCTCCAACACTATGCCTTTCACTTGGAGTGCACCCATGAGGCTGTGTATGAATGGGGATTCCTAATGCAGACTTACCCAGTCAACTGCGGACAGAGGCAGTCTTTTAAGCATTATGACATTTTCACCCCTCAGAACCCTATTCTGGTTATCCTAGTTCTACCAGTTAGAATTGAGCCTGGAGATGCCTGCCTGACCAACGTCATGTGTGAATTTGCCTGAGATGACGGGTTTTGGTCATGACGGGTCTAGTTCATGGTCTTCATGAACTAGAAGCCAGGAGATTGAACATGCACACTCTAAGATGGAAAGGAAACAGATAAAACAGGATGATATATTTCTCATGAAAATGTATCTGGAAATATACTGACTATGTCTTGAAATTAAGACACATTTTTTTGTATTGAGAAAAATTAATTATGATCAAGAAACGAGAAATCGGGGCTGGGGTTGTGGCTCAGAGGAAGAGTGCTTGCCTGGCATGCATGAGGCACTGGGTTTGATCCTCAGCACCACATAAAAATCAAATAAAGATGTCATGTCCACCTACAACTAAAAAATAAAACTATTTAAAAGAATGAGAAATCAGTTTATAATAAATCTACTTGCAGAGAATTCCCTGCCTGCAGAATAAGCTCTGGTATGACAATCCTTCTTTGACTAGATCACTGTAAGGGAGGTAGAAAGACAGCTGAAATAGAAGCTAAGAGAGAAGGTATTGCCAAAACCTTCTCTGTTCCCAAGCCTATATACTTTCCTGATTTTGTATAATATGAATCCAAAGTGAGTTTTTAACTTCTTGAGCCTAGAGCTTAATGGATGATAGGAGTGTGGAACTAAAGCTAGAGGTAGATCCAAAATTTACTTTGAGCAAAGTTCTCTTATAATGAAGAGTATAGGAGGAATAGGAGTTGGAGTTTGTTTTGTTTTAAGGAGAGGCTATTTATTCCCTCCTTATTGAAATGGCTGGTTCAGAAATCAGACATAGAAAACTGAAGGCTGGGAAGCCCAGGGCCAACAAACATCTTGAGTTCAGAACCACCCATGCTCATGAACTCTCCATTGGAGTTTTGATGTCTTGAAGTACAAGGAAACCAGACAGGACAGGTGGAACCTGAGCATAGGCATCTTTCAGGCTCTCAAAAACTATAAAAAAAATTAAATTGGAGTGATCTTTGCATTAAGTTATATAAGCAGAAAGATCAAACAGCAGACCAGCCTTTCAGATCTTATGTTTTCTGATGTCCTTCTGTGAATCAAACATTCCCTCCCGATATCAGAAGGAAATTATTTTTCTAGAACCAGGAATTTATTTTCTTCTGGCATCAAAACAAATAAGGGAGAGACACGAAGGAAAAGCATGTTTTGTTACTTCACATGTTCCTGGTTTCTTGTTCTCTAGGTTACTGTAAAACTCCTGGTTCTTTTCAGTTTGCTAAGTTGAAAACCCAAACCAAAGAATCTGAGTTTCCCATTGGGGCGTCCTTAGAGTTTGAATGCGGCCCTGGGTACTACAGGAGGTCGTTCTCTATCACGTGTCTAGAAAACTTGGTCTGGTCCAGTCCCAAAGATGTCTGCAAACGTGAGTAACTCAGCATTGGAGCTTTCTGGTGTCTGAAAAAGCATCCATAGGATCTGATTTAATGTTTTCAAATTCTGGACATGAGAAAAAAAAACCTTTTTTCAAAAAATGTTTGGGTGGGTGGGAATAAAAGTTGGTCTTGTCCATCATCTGTGATTATTGGTTGAAATGTTCATTTCACAAGAATGTTAAAGGAATGTTTGTGGAGATGTCCATTTCCTATGGGAAAGAAAAAATGAGTGATTCTAGACCAGGAAAAAAAAATTGTGTAGGGAGATATAAAGTCTCTTTGAATTTCTTGGTGGGAACAAATCCTTTGAGAAATTCAAAATATACTTGTATGAATGACCTTCATATTTGGTGAAGAATAATAGGCAGAGATAAAACGAATCTGGAAGGGGACTTCTTTTTGAAAGTGGTACTTAGATGGCTGATGATAAAAGACAGTTTGTGAGTTTCCTTAAAGTAACAAAAGCTGTTCCTCTCAACTGCCTAACTGCAGTCAGGTTGGGACTTTATGTGCTAAGAAAGTTCAGATGACTCTAGCTCCAAAACTGTTTCCTTCCTATAGGAAAATCATGTAAAACTCCTTCAGATCCTACGAACGGCTTGGTGCATGGAGACTCAGACACCCAGATCGGATCTAGAATTAATTATACGTGTAATAAAGGGTGAGTTGGCAGCGATATCTCTTAGCCCAAGAGCTCTGGAACAGTAATGCTACCTTCATGGCACATCTCAGAAAGGGCAACTAGCCTATTACTGCCTGGTATTAAAAGGTATAAACTCGGATATTTAACTCCTGATTGAAATGAACAATAGTCTGATAAGATTAAGGGGAAATGTGTGTCCTTGCTGAAACCAGGGCAGTGTAGATAAGAAAAGTGAGGCATTCACTGGGAGGGGCTTGCAGTCAAAGCATAATAATAGCCAGGTGCAGTGATTCGTGCCTGCAAATCACAGAGACTTGGGAGGCTGAGGCAGGAGGATCACAAGTTCCAGGTCAACTTGGGCAACGTAGCGAGACCCTGTCTCAAAACATAAAAAGATCTGGGGATAAGGTCAATGGTAGAGTACCCCTGGGCTCAATCTGCCCAAATATAAATTTAAAAAAAATTAAGCATACCAACAACCCTGGTGCAGAGCGCACATTCATATACTGCTGGGTGAAGGACAAGGCCACGGAGCCAGAATCAGATTTTCATGGTCAGCACTGTGCCACAAAAGGAGTGACTTAAAACAACAGAAATATGCAGGGGGTGGGTTTGAATGTCGAGCTGAGGTGGAATTGTAGCTCAGTGGTAGAGCACTTGCCTAGTACATATGAGGTTCTGGGTTTGGTCCTCAGCACCACATAAAAATAAATAAAGGTGTGTGTCCATCTTCAACTAAATAAAATTTAAAAAATAATAATAATGTTGGCAGGACCCTACTTCCTTTGAAACCTCTTTGTAGAGACTTTCCTTTCTCTTCCTGCTTTCGCGTAGCCATCTTTCCTCTGTGTCTGTCCTCACAGAGTGTTCTGTGTGTGTGTGTTTATGTCCAGTGTTCTCTCTCTTTTTATAATACATCAGTCATGTAGATTAGGGCCCACTTTAATGAACTCACCTTAACTTGATTACATCTGCAAAGACCCTATTTCCAAATAAAATCACTTTCACAGGAATGGGAGGGGTATTACAATATCAACCACAAATCACTTTGAACAGAGTTCAGCCCCTAAGAGAGCCCCCTTTGAAAATGTCAAGCATGGAGAACTCACCAAGCATGGTACTGTGGTCAATGCTTTCCCTTCCTCAGCACACAGAGAAGGTGCCACCTCACCCTCACTCTGAATGGGAACCGCAAATCAGTCTGAGAGCACAGGCAAAATCAGTGCTGCTATAGCAAGCTCTGGAAAGAAACCTGTGCTCTCTTATACACGTGACAGTTCATGGCTCACAAAGCCTAGTACCTAGAATCTCACATGGTAAAATGAGAATAAATCTAAGCAATTGTGAAACTAAGAAAATTTTTCAATATGACAGAGACACTGAATATTGCAGAAAAAAATCAATCAGAACAAGAAGAGGAATTAATAAAATTCAGTGGAGAGGAAAGGAAAAGCACGCTTAAGACAGCACTAGGATCCAAAGTACGTGTAATAAAAAATTCCAGAAAGTTAAATAAATTAGGTCCACTTAGTCATCACTAGGAAAACTTCTGCATTTCAGGGATGGCAGTGCGGGGGGGGGGGCAGTTTAAGAATCCAGGAATTAAAATTTTAATTTTAATTAAATACCTACCAAAGAAATTAACTTCTGTTGCCACCACCTGAGGCAGGAGGATCCCGAGTTCAAAGTCAGCCTCAGCAACAGGGAGGCGCTAAGCAACTCAGTGAACCCCCTGTCTCTAAATAAAATACAAAATAGGGCTGAGGATGTGGCTCAGTGGTAGAGTGCCCCTGAATTCAATCCCTGGTACCCCACCCCTGCAAAAAAAAAAGGCTGCTAAATAGAACTGAAAGAACATCAAGTTTTGTGGTCCTTAAAAAGTCTCAAGTAGATGACATAGTCGTGTGGGTCATATTTATCAGAAACGTGCAAATAAAGAGTAGCAATAGCATATGAGAAAAAATAGAATGGAATAAGAAAATTATTAAACACATGCATAAAAGGATGGTTTTATTTTGGTGCCTAGTATAATCCACAGTAAGGCCAAGAAATTAAGAAGCAGAGTTGTCCACTAGGAGTTAAAGTATCCATTTTGATGGTGAAAGGATGGGAAAGAGAATTAAGAAATGCTGGATACAATAGCTAGGTAAGGATGGCCTTTAGACTCCCCAAATTGCCACACAGACATGTTGTAAGGGGCCTGATGGGATGTGCACACTATGATTTTTTTTCCTCTTTTGCCATAAGGTACCGACTCATTGGTCACTCGTCTGCTGAATGTATCATCTCAGGCAATATTGTCAATTGGAACACAGAGCCACCAATTTGTGAACGTGAGTTAAAATCTGCTTGCCCATTTATCCCACCAGTTATTCCTAGAGTTGCCCTCTCCCTTTGAATTACAAAGAATGAATCTCATTCCTCTTGGAAATAGTCTCTTTCCAATATTTGAAGAATATAGTTATATCCTTAAAACTGCTCACAGTGTTCCAAACATCTACACCCACCTGAATTTTCTTTATTTTGGTGTATAACTTGTTTTAAACTAAACTTCTTCCTCAGTATCTGCAGAAGATTGGTTCCAGGACCATCTGCAGATAACAAAATCCATGGATGCTCAAATCCTCTCTATAAATCGGCAGTGTTTACGTATAACCTACAGGTATCCCCATATACTTTAAATCAGCTCTAGATTACTTATAATATCTAATATAATGTAAATGCTATGTTAATAGTTTTTATCTTGTATTGTTTAGGGAATAATGACAAGGGAAAAAATGTCTGTACCTGTTCAGACTTCTCAAATAGTTCGAATATTTTAAATCCCCCTTTGGTTCAAACTGTGGATTCAGAACCAGTGGCTATGGAGGGCTCATTGCATACTTCTCTGCTCATTTTGAACAGCTCCCAATTCCTCTTTGGTTGATGAAACACTTCCTAGTTTGAAGAGCATTCTCTTTAATGAAGTAAACAAAAACAAAGTTAGTTACTTCCTCTCTGTCAGCTCTTCTGATCACAGCATCTATTGAAGCAGAGCAGCTTAGCTTCCTCCTTATCCCTTGTCTGAACGATGATGTGCCATCTTCCCTGTGAGCTGTTTGGAAGATGAGCTTCCCACTTTGAAGAGCATAGAGGAACGAGCAATTGCAATTTAACAAAGAGCATAAAAGAATATAATCCTGGGTTTGGTGATATCGTGGGGGCGTCAGCAACGTCAAGTCCAATTGGTAGAATAAGTGGAACACACTCTGTAGAAGTCCAGTACAGGATGGATATTCATCAAAACTCTTAACTGCATGCATCTTTTTTCCCCAGCGTTTAAAATTTAAGTACTTTTTTTTACATCATACATAAATGGAGCATATTTTTTCATTCTTCTGGTTGTACATGATGTAGAATCACACTGGTCTTGTAGTCATATATGCACAGAGGGTAATTATTATCTGATTCATTCTACTCTCCTTCATACCCCTATACTCCCTCCTCCCCCTTCATTCCCCTCTACCTAATCTAAAGTACCTCTATTCTTCCCTAGCCAGCCGCCCCCCTCATATCAGAGAAAACATTCAGCCTTTGGTTTTTTGGGATTGGCTTATTTCACTTACCATGATATTCTCCAGCTTCATCCATTTAACAGCAAATGTCATAATTTCATTCTTCTTTAAGGCTGAGTAATATTCCATTGTGTGTCTATATCACAGTTTCTTTATTCACTCATTTGTTGAAGGGTACCTAAGATTGTTCCATAATTTAGCTATTGTGAGTTGAACTGCTATAACATTGATTTGGTATGCATCTTTTAATCCAGTATTCTATTTTTTTAATTAATTCTTTTTTAAAAAGTACACAGGGTTTGCAAGGATATTGCTTTGTAAATATTATCAACATTACTGTTTGTGATTAAACAATGGTGGGAAAGTCATCTAAATGTTGAGCATCTTCTGGAATTAGTTTTAGGAACGGCATGTGTTCTACTATAAAAGTAAAAAAAAAAAATGCTTAAAATACACCAGAATGAGTTATGGAGTCAATAGAGACAATTCTTTGAAATGGGATCATATAGCACATCCCTATACTGGCATATTATTCATCCAGCAAAGATTATTTTTTTAAAAATATGCTTTGTGAGGGGGGCATCTATGTGGGAGTTTACATGAAAGGTTACATATTAGCTAGCTGTATTTTCTAGGAAATGGCTTTAAAGATGATTTTAACTATATTTTATACAATTTCTCCAATAAATTTCTTCTTCTTAAATATATTCTTAAAGATTTAGAGAAATAAGTTCCCAATATAAGGTTTATCTGACAATAAGTAATAAAAATATCTTATTTATTCTAGAATGACTTGAAATGCCTAGGAGTCAGCTATTATTTGAGAATTAAATTTGTCCATAAAATTAGCTGTGCTTCATATTTTTTAAGGAGTAGCATTGTAATACATTTTCCCCATTTCTTCTGTATTGAGTCAACATTGCCAAAATATATCTTTATTCCTAATATGCTCATTTTCAAATTTACATACAGCAAGACACAGTATGACATCTGAATCAGCAATTAGAACACTTGATAAAGCTATTTTACTATATGCTTTACATATTAGTAACCAATACAATAAAACCAAATGCCTTCTACAGAGAAAGAAAGAAATTAACAATGTTGGAAGTTAAATCCTCATTTAAAATGAGAAACAAATAGTGGGATATAATAATATATGAACACATTTTTTGAAGTAGTGGTAACTAGAAAAAGCACAGCCCATAATACTATGGTCACCTAATCTGCAACTGTGCAAAAAAAATCATATCCCTATATTAGCAAAGATGAGAGAACAGTATTGGAAATGCATAATTTTTGGCAATTTGGAGATGTTTTTAACTGATTATCAAAATTTATAGTTAAATATAACTTTAAGAAATTAATGTTTTGCTGAACTTGTTCTTTGCCCAGGGATTCCTTGTGAGCCACCTCCGGCCATTGCCAATGGAGATTTCATTAACACCAATGGAGAAGATTTCCTCTACGGAATGGTGGTGACCTATCGCTGTAATGGTGCAGACAGAGGGAGAAAGCTGTTTCACCTCGTGGGAGAGCCCTCCATATACTGCACCAGCCATGACAATCAAGTTGGCGTTTGGAGCGGCCCTCCCCCACAGTGCATCGTACCTAATAAATGCACCCCTCCACACGTTGAAAATGCAATAATGCTAACTGAAAACAGAAGCTTATTTTCCTTAAACGAAATAGTGGAGTTTGGATGTCAGCCTGGCTTTGTCATGAAAGGACCCACCCAGGTGCAGTGCTGGCCCCAAAACAAATGGGAGCCAGAGTTACCAAGCTGCTCCAGGGGTGAGTCTGGCTGAGGCTTAGGAGAGGCCTAAAGGGCATGATTATTGGTGGACTGGGAGATTAATGTGCGCTCTGGAAGAGGGATGTGTGGTAAGCAGGTTGAAGAGTAAATATGAGGGGAAGGAGCATGAAATTCGGGGGTGCATGCCTGTCCATTAGTACCTGTGTGCGCATGTGCACTTGAGTATATTCCCCTTCATTTTGAGAAGCAAAAGCTTAATTAGCCAAGAAAGGAGATCTCTGGGACACTCCCGTTGACATTCTTGGGCACAGTCCCAGCTGCCCTCTCTATACTGACGAATGTTATGGACCTTCTCCATGCAGGCCATGTGACACGTCATAGGCATCCTCTCACTTTGCCTCTTAGAACAACACTTGGAAAGAGTGCTATTCGCATACTCATTCTATAGTGAAGCTAGTTTGGTCTTTTGGAGGCTAAATGAATTGTCCAAGTCACATGCCACTAAGTGACACACTCAGAATTTTTAAAAAGCAATTGTGTCAGACACCAGGGTCTGACTGCTCTGCTTCTTGCCCTGCTTCTGTCTTCATCTATCAGTGAGAGAAAGAGACTGGCTTATGAAAACAGATACAGCATCAGAATCATGGCAGACACCTTAGAGTTTGTCTATAATGGTCCACTTCCAACATTTTTCCCTTAGGAATCTGAAGTGAAGAGCAAAATAACTTGCTCAAAGTCCAACAGGTTTTCCACTCATAGACATAGATTAGTTGATGTTAAAATGTTCCGAGGCTGTCAAAGTGTTAAAAATGTTAAAGTGTTAAAAATGTTAAAATGTTAGAGTGTTAAAATGTTGAAGTGTTCTGAGCTGGGCTTGGTGGCTCATGCTTGTAATCCCAGCAGCTTGGGAAACTGAGACAGGAGGCTCAAGAGTTCAAAGCCAGCCTCAGCAACTTAGCAAGGCCTTAAGCAACTCAGCGAGATCCTGTCTCAAAAAACAAACAACAACAACAACAAAAAAAACATATATTTAAAAAGGGCTGGGAATGTGGTTCAGTGGTTAAGCACCTCTGGGTTCAATCCCCAGTACCAAAAAAAAAAAAAAGAAAAAAAAAGAAAGAAAGTAAGAAAGATGTGTTCTGAGGCCCTGGGCACCCACCACAAGGGCCATAAGTCAAGGTACACTCTAAGTCTCTAAATAAGATGTCCTCTTATTACAAGGACTGGCTTATTGGGGGATTTCTTTTTCTTGATGGCTCGACTTATGTTCTTCGGTCTCAATAGTTGCTTAGCAGTGAACTGGGAGGTGTTATGGCTAATACTTAGGGATAGGGAAGGATCTGAGAATTCTTCCACCAAACCATGTGTGCAGTCACTAAGAGAGCAGCTTAGAGGACAGAGAAATGTAAACATGTCTAGAGGACTGTACATTAGTCACAGTGTGCTGTAAGGAGGAAGGGAAAATAGGCTCGGGTCTAGGCAACCTTCTCATAACCTGAGCCATAAGGTTGAAAATCAGGATTGCCTTCCTAGGACATATGCAGGTGGAGAATCCACCAGGACTCATAATTCTGTACTGGATAGTCAGAGCTAGGAGAAGGAACCTCATGACTTAGAGACTTACGAGTGAATTAAGACCTTATCTTGAAAATTGGGTTTTATTTCTCTACCTCTTACTAGCTATAAGGCCTTGTTACATCTCTTCGTAAAACTGCTACCTCAGTAAAATGGGGGGGGTGGCATATCATTTGATGTTCTCTGTAATACTTGAACCCATCTGTATTAGTCAGCTTTCTGTTACTATAACAAATACTGACATAAGTCAACTTGTAGAGAAAGAAAATGATTGTTTTGTCTCACACTATAGAAGGTCTCACTCCATGGTTGGTTTTTCCTATTGCTTTGGGGCAGTACATCCTGGTGGAGAGCAGATAGTGAAGCACACTGTTCACTTCATTTCATGTTGGGAACATGAAAGAGAAGAAGAGAAAGACCAGGGTCCCACAATCCCCTTTGAAGCCACACCCCTAATGCCCTAAAACTCCACCAGGCCTCAGCTCTTTTTTTTTTTTTTTTAATCTGACCTGGAACCCCATCCACAAAGACTTTAGATGCTGGACACAGGTCATGTTATTATTTTTTTAGTTTTTAAAATTTTTTTGTAGTTGTAGATGGACAGAATGCCTTTATTTTATTTGTTTGTTTTTATGTGGTGCTAAGGATCCAACCCAGTACCTCACTTGCTAGGCTAGTGTTCTGCCACTGAGCTACAGCCCCAGCCCAGGTCCAACTCTTAAAGGTTCCTCTACCTCCCAGTCTTACCCCTGGCTGGGGACCAAGCCTTTAACAGATGGGCCTTTGGGAGACATTCCATGTCCAAATTACTGCAGCCTTTAAATACTACTTCCCAACTCCTTGAAAAGTTTAGGGGTTAGCACAGCATTTCTCCAAAACAAACATAGAATTTGGACTTATTCTTTCCACATAGGGTGTCAGCCACCCCCAGAAATCCTGCATGGTGTGCATACCCCAAGCCACGAGGATAACTTTTTCCCTGGGCAGGAAGTGTTCTACAGCTGTGAGCCAGGGTATGACCTCAGAGGGGCTTCTTCTCTGCGCTGCACACCCCAAGGAGTCTGGAGTCCAGCTGCCCCCATGTGTACAGGTGAATAGACTCATTGGGTTTTCAGATCATTCTCTTTGCCCCTCACACACAGTCTTAACTTCTTCTTCTTTTTCTCCTAGTGAAATTATGTGATACATTCCCAGGCCACATCCCTAATGGTCGTGTGCTATTGCCACTTACTTTACAGCCTGGGGCAAAAGTGACCTTCATTTGTGATGAAGGGTGAGTATGACTCATCATAGAAACCAGACAACGAGGGTTAACTTGAACTCCAGGGTTAATACAAGAAAGAGGCGGCTGACCTAGTAGAAAAGAAGTATCCAAGGAGGTAACTTCTGGAAGGATAGTTTTGAAATCAGGGCAGAGACTCAGTGGCACCTCTATATGGAGACAAGAAAAAAATAACACATGTAATCCAATGTTAAGCACAAACACAGATACAATTGCTGATCTTGAGTATTGGGGTGGAATTTGAAGTAAATGGATAAATAGTTATTTGGAGGCAGAAAAGCAATGTTATGGAAAGTTTGCTAGAAAAAAATGTTTGATGAATAAAACAAAAATTGCCAACTGATAAGTCAGATAAAGTTTAAGACAGTTAAAATCAGTCCATAGTGGAATTCATAATAGTGTATGGATGAGTGTGTTTTCAATCATATGTCTTCATATCAGTGGTGGCTTTGATAGCGGGATCATTACAGTCAATCCTCCTGTTTGAGGTGGTCTATAAATGTTTATGTGAATCTACTCCTGTTGGTGGTTTGCACTGTCAGTCTGTGAGACCCAGATTAGGCAATGAAGAGGTTAATTTTAATAATTTGCAAGGAATCTTTGGCATTTATAAAGTCTACTACCTAATAATGATTTCTGATTTCAGAATGATTTGAGATTTCAGAAGATTTCAGAAGAACCACAGAATCCAACAATAGCATTTCAGGGTGCAGAGACTCCTCCTCCTCTCACACTTCTTTTCCTAGGTCATTTGGTTCCCTGTGTTCCCATGAGCCTCCTTCTGGCCCATTACATTTATAATGCCTAGGAGAACAAAGCCTTATCCTCTTTACACATGTTCTCTGCTTTGCTGTTGTTCCTCCTGACCCTGCAATGAAAATTAGCAGGATTCAGCAGGCCATCAGTGAGAGGTGGTCTCTGAATGTTATGAGTCTTGGGCACCTGGGGAAAACCTGGTCCTATGTCCCTAGGTGATAGTGGGCCTGTATGAGACTATCTGACAATTAAGACACCAACTCGGATCACTTTGCCAGTCCCAGGGTACTGAGATTCTTTAGAAATGTTGGCTTCTGAGTGTCTGCCAGCTACTGAATACAGATTCTAAGGAATTGAGAATTTTAGCTGGGCCTGCACCTAAGAACCAAATCCTCTTTTGTCTGAAGTGAGGAAGCTGAGCATCTATTACTGAAAAGATACAGGGCGAGATGGAAATGGCTCACTCACTTTATTTATTTATTTATTTTCTTAAGGTTTCGATTAAAAGGCAACTCTGCTAGTCATTGTGTCATGGCTGAAATGAAAAGCATTTGGAATAGCAGTGCTCCTGTGTGTGAACGTGAGTAGAAAGAATAACTATGCACCTTGGATAGCTGTCCTAATTTTTTTTTCCTGTTTGTTTCACCTCATGAAATTACCTTATCTTCTGGATCTTTAAACTATTGATTAAAAAAATACTTCTTTATTGGAAAAATTTCAAGAGAGGTCTTATAGGTTTTATAGATTATGTGTTTATGACACTAATCTATAAATACATAGTTTGAGGATAATGTTGAATTTGTGCAAAAAATGCAAGGAAAAACTTGAGGACATAAAGGTACACCAGATTTTATTTGTTCATTTATTTATTAGTTGTGTAGTTAAGGAGTAATCTCTCTTAAATTTTTATGCACTTTTATCTCTTCATGTATCTCAGCATTTATTCAACCTGGTCTCCTGTGGTATTCACTGACTGAGGGCTACCCATGCATCAGTTCTTTCTATGTGTGGAAAGAGTAATAAACACAAAAAGACTCATCTCTGCTTTTATGACATTTATTTTCTAATGGGAAAGAGACAATAGACAGGAAAATAAATAAGTAAAATTTTTTTAAATATTAGAATATATAAAATGGTATGTTCAATAGTGATGAGACATAGAGAAAATAAAAGAGTTAATATGATAAATTATCATGGGAGCTAGAGTTGTGAGCCAGTATTTGAAATAATGAGGTACCCACATTTCTAAACCACATACTAAAAGAAAACATGATAAAGATTCAGAAATTGATAAACAGAAAAGTACATGTCTTATATACAAGACATTACCAGTGTATCCTACCCTGTGTCCTAGAACAAGGAAAGATTTTTTTTTGAATTATTTTTTTCTTGTTGATTGGAAAATGTTTATTTAAATATGGATTTTGTTAAAATATCTTGATAAAAATCTATTTGGATATGTTATATAGTGAACATTATAGTGAAACTTTATAAGAACATTCAATACATAGGGAACTCAGATAGCCAACAAACTCAATCTTTCAGAGACACATAAAACTGAAAGTAGTTATATAAGTAAATTTTGGAAAAACACAGATGGACACAACTCAAATATGAGAAATCCATCTTTGATGTATCTAAGATCTTTATTTTATTTATGCACAATTTTGATAAACTTGAATTCCTAAATTCACCTCAGGATTAGAAGCATCAAGTTAATTTCCAGAAGAGAACTGCTTCAAACACATACACTAAAACCAGGAAGACATGACTACAGATAATTTTTAAGATAAAACCAAAAGGTGGGTTGCACACGGTGGCTCAGGCCTGTAATCCCAGTGGTTAGGGAGGCTGAAACAGGAGGACCACAAGTTCAAAGCCAGCCTCAGCAAAAAGCAAGGTGCTAAGCAATTCAGTGAGATGCCCCCCCCCCAGCCCTATACAAAATAGGGCTGGGGGAGGCTGGGGATGTGGCTCAAGTGGTAGCGCGCTTGCCTGGCATCATGCGCGGGGCACTGGGTTCGATCCTCAGCACCACGTAAAAATAAAAGAAAGATGTTGTGTACACTGAAAACTAAAAAATAAATATTAAAAAATTCTCTCTCTCTCTCTCTCTAAAAAATAGGGCTGGGAATGTGGCTCAGTGGTGGAGTGCCCTTGGTAATCTATAATTACCTATATTTTCTGGTGACACCATTCCATATTTGGTATTGGTTCTGATGATAATGGTCTTGAGTCACCAAGAGAGATTTATATCTACTAAAGATGATAATATATGCCTCATAAACTTCACAAAAACTTCCCTGGAACTTAAGGTCTCTGAGGACCCAGACTGTCTCATACTCCATTGTCAACACCAAACTCTTTCTATGCCTGATTTAAAATAGGTAATCAAATGGTTGCCTAAAAAATTAATTACTTTCTGAACTCATTAAAAACTTAGCTACTTAAGGGATCCAGGCTTGTGTTAAAAACAAAAACAAAAATAAAAACAACTTTTGGGCTTTTGCAAAAAACGATTAGGTTTTACCTCAGTTCATTCTCAGCAAAAGTCTCAGATTCAGGGGGCTGGGGTTGTGGCTCAGTGGTAGTGCCCTCACTTAGCACGGGTGAGGGCCTGGGTTCGACCCTCAGCATCACATAAAAATAAAATAAATAAAGGTATTGTTTCCAACTACAACTAAAAAATAAATATTTTTTTAAAAGTCTCAGATTCAATTTCATCCACCTTAGATGTGTTCTTTCTAAAAGAAAAAAAAACTATTAATAATAGTCACAGGGCACCAGTATTATATTTCTCATCTTTATTGACATTCTATTTAAGTTCTAGTAGAACTTAAAACTCTTGTCTTCTTTCTAGAAATATTTTGTCCAAGTCCTCCAGCCATCCTTAATGGGAGGCACACGGGAACTGCTTTGCAAGATATTCCATATGGAAAAGAAATATCTTACACATGTGACCCCCACCCAGACAGAAGGATGACCTTTGACCTCATTGGGGAGAGCATCATCCGCTGCACAAGTGACAATCAAGGCAATGGGATTTGGAGCAGCCCTGCCCCTCGCTGTGAACCTTCTATTACTTCTGGTCAGTATCCACTTCCACATATCTGAATGGGTTGACAATCTAAGCAAGACTTTCCACATTTCTGTAGCAACAGTCAATTTTGCTTGTGAACATGACTTTGTTATGAATGGCAGAGACAGTAATACCTCTCAGGTGAATAACATTTAGAGCGGCTGGGTTCCTGGTACAGTGGTAGGGTCCTACCTGTATATAGTCTCAGATACTTGAGAGGCTGAGACCGGAGGACTACTTGAGCCCAGGAGTTCAAGACCAGCCTGGGCAACATAGTGAGACGCCTTCTAAAAAAAAAATTAAAAATAAAAATAAAAAGCCAACTTGCTGTAAGGTCAAGTAGGTAGAATTCTGGCGTTTCTTCCTGTAGGGTAAGAATGGGATAAGAGCATGAAGAGGGGTGGAGAGAGTCAGTGAGGTCCCGTTTCTGTTGAAAATGTTTTCAAATCCCTGAAAAACAATGTGGAAGGAAATACTCTTGTGACATCTCTACTGCCAGTTGTCTTTACACTGAACAGACAGGAGCACTGAGCAAAAAACACATGTCAATAGCATACTTTACCATGGGACTGGTAATGCTACAGAAGAAATTTTTAAAACTCAGATGTCAGTATTTACATGCTTTTTGTTACTGGCAATGTTTTGTTCAAGCCACTGCCTGGATTTGGATGATCCTCCACCTCACCATTAACAAAGGTAGCTCAGGCTGGGCGTGGTGGCACATGCCTCTAATCCCAGAAGTTCAAGAGCCTGAGGCGGAAGGATTGGAAGTTCAAAGCCAGCCTCAGCAGTTTAGCAATGCCCTGCCTCAAAATTAAATGATAATAATAATAATAATAATAATAATAGCAGCTAGGCATGTGGCTCAGTGGTTAAGCACTCCTGAGTTCAATCCCCAGTACCAAAAAAAAAAAAAAAGTCTCTCAGGATGCCCTGGGAATGTGGAGGCTAAGGTTGTACTCTTGGTCTATGTAGCTTTTTCCTTTTATATAACCATTTGGCTTTAAATAACTGTACCAGGTAATCTTTGGTTCCTTTGTGGCTGTGATCGCTCACTCAAAGTCTCTTCCTCCAGTAAGGACAGAACAGCATTGAACTGATAGTTTGTGGATACTTATAGTACTTCTGAAAAAGTTTGCAGAGGATTGTGTTCAAATGCAGTCATCTACTCTAAAGAATCAGCCTTCTGATGAGCTAGCCATGAGTGGCTTATGACCTGCCTGTCTCAGGTCTTCCAATGCCTCTAAGCCAGAGATATTTATGTTGGTGTGTTCACACTTCTGCATTTAACTGGCTGCCTTTTCTTGTCTCTGTGTGGGAACTCATTCTCAGCATGCCCACATCCACCTAAGATCCAGAATGGTCATCACATTGGAGGACATTCTTCTTCATATCTTCCTGGGATGATGATCAACTATACATGTAACCCCGGATACTTGTTGGTGGGAACTACCTTCATTTTCTGTACACACAAGGGAACCTGGAGCCAGTCTAATCATTATTGCAAAGGTATCTCAATTCTTGATATTTCTCATTCTTTCTGGGTTGTTATGGGAAATAGATGCATGAGGTTAATCAGGCTGAAAGATCATTGAGATTATTGTCATTTAATAAGGTTGGGAGAGTGGTGACGTGAGTGTCAATAGGGGAGGAGAAAAGCAGAACAGAAGATAGGAAGGAAGGCTTCCCAAGGATCCTTAGCTCTGCTCAGAAAGTGAGGATAGTGGGTGAAATTTCCAGAAACTGGATAGGCATCACCAATTTCAAATGCTTTGCTGATTTTTAACTAATTGCTCTAGAGGATCTCAGAGGTCACAGAAAAGTCCTCACAAATACCCTTAGAAGATAAGAGACTAGAAGCATCCTTTGCCATGAGGAAAACTGAACCAAAAGGGAGACAGTACCTTGTCCATCACACATGAACAGAGAAGTTGAGAACAATTACTTCCTAAAATTACTGAGTATGGAGCCTCCTGATACTAGAAGAAAACCAAAGATTTATTTCATTTGCTCCCTGGAGCCAGTCCTTCAAACTATTTCCTTTATTCCAGCTTATTTGCAAAAGCAACACCTGAGCCCGGCATGGTGGTACACGCTACTGGTTCCCAGCAGCTTGGGAAGCTGAGGCAGGAGGATGGCAAATTCAAAGCCAGCCTCAACAATTTAACGAGGCCCTAAGCAACTTAGAAAGACCCTGTCTCTAAATAAAATATAAAAAAGTCTGGGGATGTGGCTCAGTAGTTAAAGCACCCCTGGGTTCAATCTTTCATTTAAAAAAAAACAGCAAACAAATAAAAAACAAAATACAAAAATAAATAAATAAATAATGGGCTTTAACTGTTCCAAAAATAAAAAATGAAAAATAAAAACATCAACACTTGATTTATCTTTCTTGGTAATGTTCTATAAAGCTCCAAATAGGAAATTTAAATAATAATCTATAATTAGACAGGGTTCTGAAAGTTTTTGTATTTGGACTCCAAAAGAGTCCGATGAAGCAAGATGGTCACTTGCCATGTTTTAGAGGAGGAAATTAAGGCCAGAGAGAGGCACTAACTCCGTGTTAGGCAGTCCATGAATGGTTGTCTTAGGCCCTACTTTTAAACACTGTGCTGTATACTGTCTCTTTTTAAATGCTATTCTTTTGACTTTACAAAACTGTAAGTTAAGTGCTTTGGCTACTTGCTTCCTTTCTTGTCTGTTCTTTCTTTTTAGAAATACTAGGCTCAGGGCAGGGATAACGTAGGAGGCACTTCAGACGCCTCAATTTCAGATGTTAGGGAAAAGCCCGCCTTAGGACCTGTCCTGGGTGCAGGATCACAGGGCCCTTCCTGTCCTCAGAGTCTCAGAAGTCCTTCTCATGCTCCCAGCCTTCAGCCTTCTCGTTTTAGAGAAAATGAAGCCCACCACAGAGATGGTAAGTGACTCTCTTGTGCTTACTGGCAACAGTAGATGGTACAAAATACAGAATCCTTGTGGCTCTGCGCATACCTATGAGTTCTTCCCCCTTGCTTCAGTTATTTAAAAAGCATGAAAATGAGTAAATATTTTAAGACACAGGTTAAGACTGTGGGACGGTTCTGCTCTTGACAATGAAAGGCTAGTGTTCTATGCTCATGGCAGCTGCTTTCTTCCCATTTATATAAAATTCATTTTTCGTTAATAACTGTCCCCTTCAAGCGTACCATAGACCAGGGTAGCACTGGCAAGATCAGCCGGAACCTGGTTCAAAGGGCAGACTCTCCAGCTCCATCCCATGCCCTCTGATTCTGTTTTGAGAAGGGGTCAGAAGTCTACTTTTAACAAACCCATCAGAATTTCTGATGCAGGAAGACCACAGACTACACATGAGGAAATCCCACTTGACCTTGTTGGTACTTGTAATGGGAAGAACATTGGGCTAATTTTGAGACTCTCATAATGGCAAAGGAGTCTTTGCTTGAAGTTGAAGGACCTATTGATAGCAGAAAGAGAATGCAAATCAAAGGATGAGTTAAATGAGGTAAAGTAAATGAAATAGATGATGTTTTAAATTCAGAATCATGACTTACTAGCTTCTTTTGTTCTGTGTATAGAAATGGGCCTGAAACAAATGCTTCCAGAGCAAAAATATCAGTATGTAGTGTATACCTAGAGAGTTAACATGCTGCTGCTATGTCCTTATGGTGTAACCCAAATGGATCCCTGGCAAGAGATCATGTTATCCTAACTCCTGATCCTTCCCAAACACTCTGGTCACAAAGTTGTTAATACTCAAAAGTATTCCATATTCCTTTACTGTGTTTTCATTTTAAGAAAAATAAAAGAGAACTTTAAATCACAAGATGTTTGGGGTGGGGAAGGGTCAATAGTTCTTGATTGAAAGCATGCCCCGTCTTTGTTGAGGGCAAGTTAAGTTTGGGATTATGATTGTTTCATTCTAGTGATTTCAGTTAACAACAATAAAATCTCAATCCCCAATTTGTCTCCTTTCAGAGGTAAAATGCAGCCTTCCACAGTTGAATGGACTTAAGCAGGAGCTGAAAAGGAGAGAATATCACTATGGAGATAACATAACTTTGGAATGTGAGGATGGATATATTCTGGAAGGCAGTCCTTGGAGCCAGTGCCAGGCAGAGGACAGATGGAACCCTTCTCTGGCCATATGCACATCACGTAAGTACCAGTACAGGGAATGGAGCCCTTCCCAGCCAGTTCATTCATTTGTCCATACTAGCATCAGGTGTGGTGTGATGTTCATGGCATATGCTAGTGAAGAAGTTGAGGATGTGCCATCTCAAAGTACGTCAAATTGTAATATTGATTATTTCAAGCTGAAGTCACTTGAGGAACTATAACTGCAAAAGGGCCAATTGGCCTTCCTTTTCCTATATGCAGCAAGCCATAAAAAATTCTTTTGGAGGATCTGGAGGTGTAGCTCTTGCCTAGCACTCTGTCTTCCATCTCAATTTTCTCTTCGCTCTTCTCACCGCATCCATCACTCCTTGGGGTCCTGGGTGCTTTTCATATCTGGATCTATTTATACCCTGATTTGTCTATATCCTGGATTTGTTTACATCACTCTGTGGTTGCATATGCCACATAGTGATGATTTACCTACAGCCAGTGAGCCTCAGTAAAAGCCACATTGAGTGAGGCTTCAAGAAATGTTTCCTGGCCTAGCCTGCACAAGGCCCTGGGTTCAATCCCCAGCACCACCAAACAAACAAACAAATGTTTTTCGTGTGTGTCATGAAGTGCCTTTCAAGCTGCAGAGAGTAGCAGGCTCACCTCTCTCCCAGCTGTAGGCTACAGGATTTGAAGTAGCTGGTACAGCAGATTTAGAAATCATGTTGCACTGAGCTCTGTAAAAGAGGAGTCCCTGGTGATGACTGGAGTATGCTGAAGGTAGAAAATACTGAACTGTGAACTTGCACACTTCAAGGAGCAGACTAGTATACACAACTTTCTTCTTAGTCCAAGTTAATTTTAGTTTTTCCCTCTGCTCACATCTTAAATCTCTTACTCATAATATGTGGTTATATACCAAAATTGTTCAAGATGCATTTATTATAGTTAATCCTTCAAAAGTGTTAACTACTCATCATAAATAACATTTCTAAATTATAAACTCAACATTTCCTTGAAAAAGTTCACTGGCCAACTAACTGAGTGCTTTTGGGGTGTTTTGAGGATCTGGCTGGACTGACAGAAGAGTCAATTAATTGGGGAATCAACCCCACCAGATATGAAAATAAAATATAAGGTCATAATACCAAACTCACTTTGCACCAAAACAAGAATAAGCACATTAATAAGTAGGACAATTGGGCTAGGGATGTGGCTCAAGCGGTAACACACTCTCCTGGCATGCGTGGGACACTGGGTTCGATCCTCAGCACCACATAAAAATAAAAAAATAAAGATGTTGTGTCCACTGAAAACTGAAAAATAAATATTAAAAAATTATCTTTCTCTTCTCTCTCTCTCTCTTAAAAATATAAGTAAGACAATTGATATTAATAAGATAAAGGCTTATTGTAAGTAAAAATAAAATTGTCTTATAGGCATAATAGTGGAGACATCATAAATTCATGAGAAAAGGCAAGTTATCAAATTATATCACTAGCACTCAAAAACCATTAGAACTTTTTAAAAATAAATGCAAGGTATAATAAAAAGTTAAAAGTTTTAAAAGTCAAACCATAGAAAATCTAAAACACACACACACAGAGAGTATTTATGAAACAACTAGTATTGGGGATGTAGTTAGCATGTGCTTAGCATGTACAAGGCACAAGGTTTGATCCCCATCACCACCAAACAACAAAACCCAGACAGAGACCAACTTTTGGAACTCAGATGTAATTTTCAATAATTATATAAGATGTTAACTTTTTTTTTTACCTGTTGACCAATTTGACTTAAAACTTATATACTTTAAAAAGTAAGTAAGAAGATGTTAGATGGGGAATACATAGAAAATACGATGAAGGGTTAATAGTCCTGTTACAGGGGGAGCAGTTGTGGTGGTTGTGGTAATAGTAATAGTTGTAAAAGTTAACCTATTGAGCATTAGTACCACGTTCAAAGATTAGGTGGAGATAAATAGACAGATAGACAAGTAGATTGATTCTAATTTAATCCACATAAAAATCTATGAGGAGGGTAGTATTCTTATTATCCCCATTTTATAGACATAAAAACTAAGACACAAAAGATTTAAGTCCCTTGCCCAAGACTGCAAAATAGGATAACCTAGGTCCAACCAGGCAATTTACCTATCTGAAGAGGCTCTGTGCTTTAACAATAAATAAGCAGACAATGATCTTACATATTTGTAGTTCGACAATCGAGAGAAAGTTCTAAGTATTAATCATAGTGAAAGGGAAAGTTATTAGGCCAAGGTCACAAATACCAGATAAAAGGCAGTTCTTTATTCAGATAGATGGAAATATGTAGAATGACTAAGAACAAGCCAAGTTAACTGTTAACCAGCTGGTTCTTAGAACTCAGACCCCTCATGAATTGGGCTGGACCACATGTGAACTCCTTTATCCTTTGCTGTAGAACTAGACTAAAAATAGGCCTCTTGGCTTTCTTTTTCTTTCTACCCTAACTAATCTTGGACTGTGAAATATTGGGGTTTTATAGTGATACAAGGGCAAACAAAGACAAGATTATGGAAAACAAGAAATATTTTTAACAAAATAAAACCAAAAAGCTTTTTTTTTTTGTTCCAAGGCTTAGGACAGATTGCTCAAGATACCAGTCCTAGGCCTTCCTAAAAAGGAAGCCGGAGAGTAAATCACAGAGTTGGTCCAGGCTTGGAACAAATATCACAGGGAGTTTTGAGAGCAGCCCAAATTAGAAAAATAAACTCTGAGTACTACATTAGAAAATGAATTTCCTGGAATTCCCAGGCCTACCACATTCCCATTTCAATAGCTCAGTTATTTCGGAGGCCTGACTTGTAGCCTCATCTACCTCTGAGTGGAGGGTAATCTTGAGTTCCCCCTTAAGGCCAGAATTAATACCTATAACCTATAATTAACTATGTTCTCAAGACTAATGTAAGCACAGTTGCATGCAAGACAAGTAATTTCAACTCCAGTAAAGATGTGAAAACTAAGAAAAGTCTTCACTGGAATCTCTCAGAGAGGCATACAGATATATTACCCGATGTGACACCTACAAAAATATCCTAAAATCCACTTTACTAACTGTCCCCCAAGGTCCTCTTCCTTAAAGTAACTACTTTCTTAGAACCTTATCTTGTTTCTTTGCCACCAAGACTCACTTTCAAAAGCTACTGCTTAAGTGGGCGTATCTGTTCCCTGTTTCTCTCCTCACTTTTGGGTCTTCTGAGTTTACCAAAGTCCTCATGCTATTTCTAAGTAAATGGAACTTCTGCAGTTCACCATACAAACCCTGAAAGAGGAACAGGGAAATGCAAAAACTACCTTAGAATGAAGGACATGGAGAAAGGGTGTAAATATCTTTTTACCTAGGCACATAAGTATTTAAAAATGGTTTAACCTCACTAGAACTTAAAAAATGCAAAAGCAAAGAAGAAGATGACTCTTCTTTTTCCCATGAAATTAACAATAACAAACAGGTTTTAGAGAAACTCCCAGTAGAAATCAAGATGTGATGAAACTGATATTGTTGTATGTTGAAAGTACCATTGTAAACTGTCAAGGACTGTTATGAAAAACAGTTATGCAATGTATGATTAGAATGATAAAAATGTTCATGCCAGTTAGCCTTCCTAGGAATCCAGTCTGATGAAATAAGGTAAGATTCAAAAATATTTTACGCATTTTATTCACAGTTTCATGACAAATACTAGAAACAAATATACTATAGAAATAATTGAATGTACAGTAACACATCCACTAGAATAGATTTTATTAGTTTGCCTCTGTTGCAATTTGCTTTTCTATTATATAATTATGTAAAAACTTAGAGATATGGGGAAAAGTGCCAGATGAGAATATACTAAACCATATTTGAGTATTAGAATTATGAGTGATTTTTTTGTTGTGTTTTACAAACTTTCTCCTAAAACTTTATTACTTTTATGATGCAAAATATTACTTCAGAAAGAGAAAAATCTTCCCTGGGTGTACAAGATTATATGAGTGAATTATGGGAGGAAATAATGTGAGTGAAAACAAAGAAAGTTTTTTTTTTTTTAATATTAGAAAAGAATTCAATGGAAAAATCAGGAGGGATGGTACTGGCTAGAAGACTCCTGCTGGGTCACACCATGTGCCAGGCTGATGTTTTCGTGGCTTTTGTCTTTTTTTTTAGGCTCACATGATGCTCTCATAGTTGGTAAGTTTTGTGAAGGGTTTGCTGAGAAATTCTAGCACCTTCAACAGTAAGTATCTATTTCCAGTGAATTGTTAGCGTCTAGGGGTGCCGGGTTCATTGTCTTGGTGCAGCAATGAATTGAAGATCAGAACACAGAGATAGCAAGAAGTAGGTTTATTGCAAAAGCAATAGAGATACAAAGATAGACTTCTTCAAAGAGAAGGGGCCCCAGAACTAGGAATCCAGTGGGGGAAGTTTTGGCCTGTTTTTTTTTAAGACCTCTGGAATTTCCTCCTTTCCTCCCCTGTCCACTCTCTCCTCACTGTTATTGATTGGAGCCCCCTCTGTCCATGCATCTGTTTTAGTTTTTCTATTGGATCCCCACTTAGGAGCATGAGTACACAAATGTTTGTCTGATTGGTGCCTTGCTTGTGTTCACAAGCCTTTTGGTCAAGCAGGAAGTTGACCTCATCAGAAGAACCTCTCCATGCTCCTCTGTTCTGCTCCTGACCTCCTCACTCACCATCTTGCCCCGGCTGCCTAAGCCTTTCTACATCTCCCTCAGAATGAAATGCAAAATGATAAAGTGTCTTGTATTATGAATTCAAATTAAAATGAAAATAATGATGCATTTAGGTCAGGGTGTGTTGAAACTGGCATTCTTATATAGAGTATCCTCCTTTCTGGATGGAACTTGAAAGCATTATGTTAAGTGAAATAAACCAAACTCAGAACACCAAGGGTCATAAGTTTTCTCTTAGATGTGGAAGATAGGAAAAAGGAAAAGAAAAGCAGGAACAGAGGTGGATCTCATGAAAATGGAAGGAAGAACAACCAGTAGAGTAGAAGAAAGGGACCAGGGAAGGGAGGAGAGGAGGAGAAGGGGAAATACTAGGGAAGAATATTGACCAAATTATACTGTTACATCCTGTGCATATATACAAATTTGTAACAATGCATCCTACTGTTATATAAGATGAACCAATACAAATATGGAAAAAAGAAAGCCAAAAAATGAAAGACATTTTAAAAAGTTTTTGTTACAGGGGGTTCTTTGGCATTAAAATGTCTTTATTTTAATGTGTGGCTGGAGAGGGCAACTTCCTCTTTGCTTTATAACTGGGGAATAGACTTCCAGATGGTAACCATGTCGTTTACACAAATTAAAAGCCACAAGACCAGTTTGTTGAGTTTATTTCTGTGCTCTGCTTATGTAGGAACAGTTCTGTAATAGAGTTTGTGTCCAGGGGAATTTCTATTTTGTAGAGTAGCCTGTGTCCTGTGTCTTACATGAGAGACAAGGTGGCAGTGCTTGCTGTGTCCTGCCTACTTAAGGGCAGCTGTTGGAGTAAAGTTTACCAAACTGTTCTACTCACTCTTTGCTATGTATAGTAAAACCAATGCTCTAACTCAAACCCAGGGTAAGGGAGAACTTATTGTTTTATCTAAAAAAAAAAAAAAAAAGTCATTGGCAATCTCTAGGGGGACTAGATATTAAGACAGAATATTAAGCCTCTTAAAAAAATAAAATTATATTTCCCATTTATTTATTTATTTATTTATTTATTTTTTACTGTCTAGGCATTTGCTTTGGTATGATCTTCTTTATTTTATCCATCATTGTTCCCAGTTGGATAATTTTTAAGTGCAAGAAAGGGTAAGTACAGCTATATTCTCCCAGAAAATGTAAACTGTATTTTGCTCCTCTCAGACGTCAAAGGAAAATTTAAAAATAAATAAATAAATAAACAAAAATAAAAACCCAAACAACAAAAGCACTACTACATAGACAGATGTGATAATTCACATAAAGAAGGTCCTTGACACATACAATAGAAAAGTATTTATGCTATAGGAAATACATATGTTACTAAGAATATTTTAAAAATCAATAATACAGTATTTTGGGTGCAGTGGCACACACCTGTAATCTAGTGACTTGGGAGGCTGAGGCAGGAAGATCCCAAGTTCAAGGCCAGCCCGGGCACTTAATAAGACCCTGTCTCAAAATAAACAACAACAACAACAAAGAGCTTGGAATGTAGCTCAGTGGTAGAGCACGCCTAGGATAAATTCTTCAGTATCAGATTTAAAAAACAGCATTTTAAGAAAGAAATGTGAAAGAGAAAATAAGGAGGTTTTTAAAAAGGTATTAATGAGACCATTGATGTCCTAGTTTTGCTGGGACATTGCAGACACTGACAGCTAGACTTAGATTCTATTTCTATCTTTTAACTAAGAGTTAGATTGTGTTTTTCTCTGGCACACATATCCCAGGATGCCTGCATGGAAGAATTGAGATTTTGCATTAAGAAAGAAAGAGAGAAAGAAGGAAGGAAGGAAAGAAGGAAGGAAGGGAGGGAGGGAGGGAGGGAGGGAAGGAAATCTTTTGTAAAAACCAGTGACTTTCTTTATTGGTGTATTTTATAATTATACATTATAGCAGGATTCATTATGTCCATATTTGTGACCACTGAGTTTTTCAACTTGAAGAAAACTTCACAAAGATTATGATCTAAAGAGCAAAACATTTTTGACTGGGAAGTAAACACACAGCTTTTATGCTGGCTATTTTAATTAAAACAATATTAGTGAAATCTGCCAATAAGACCAGTGTTGTAAGGTTGATGAACAAAAATTCTATACTGAAGAAAAGCAGAGTTTAAAACTCCAAGTGAGTAGTCTTCTATAGCAAACGTTCTTAACAAATGCAGTCTTCTACAACAACCTTTATAGAAATTGAAGTTTGATATTTCACAGAGATGCCAATAAGGCGGTTTTTTTTTTTTTTTTAAGTAGATTGTCACAGTAAAACCATTTTGCAAACAACCTAGTCAGGAACTCAACTTCATAATGAAATAATCAGTATAGAATTAGATTTAAGTTAAACTCGTATTCTTCCTTAGTAAAGGTATATTTTGCAGCTTGACCTATAAGTATTCTTTGTCCTTTATTCTTACAAAAAGAAAAAGGGAAGTGGCCTGATATTAACATTCACAGAAGTGCATTTTTCTAAATTTCTTATTAAGCACCCCTATAATTTGCATTAATTTTTTATAAATTTAAGGAAGAATTAAAGAAGGGATTAACTTGTATCACATTATTGATGATTTGCAAGCCTTCTTAATCCCCAGCTTTCTCAGATTCAGAATATCTAATTAATTACTCTGTATTTGGTTCCTCATCTGTATCTTGGGCTGGCTGTGCTCTATTAACATTTTCTCTTGTCTCCTAGATCACCATTCTCCTCACCATCCTCCCTCTCCAGACTACCCTTGGGGACAGGGACCACCTCTATTCACAGAAAATAATTATTATTTAATGACTTTTTATCTATACTTGTATAGTAGCCCAATTCATACTAAAAACAGTAAAAATTTACATGAATTTTACAAAACCCATTACCATTTATTATCTTCCAAGGAAACATGTATTTTTTTTACAAAACACATTACCATTTATTATCTTCTCAAGCAACTCTGTGCGGCACCAAGGCCAAACAATATTGCTATCTCAAAGCAGAGAAAACTTTGAGGTGCAAAGACATTCAGGGGCTTGATTAAAGTTCTGCAAGTAGGAAGTTTGCCAGGAATTAGGGCTTTTGTCTACATGATTTGATTCATTTTTTGCTATTCCTTTGATGTTAGTTGCACATTTCTGAATTTGATTCTGCATCACTAAAATTCAGTACCCAGAATTGTGTACAGTAAAAAACTGCAATATTTCCTTTTACTCTTTCAATATACACTCCCTCCTCTACATTTTATTGACTTTGTTCCAGCTCCTCTGGCATATTGAGCCCTGCTCTCCTAACTGTGGGTAGTACCTGTGCATAAAATAGAACATGTTCTTCAGTATAAGAGAAAAGGGAAGAAAAAGGAAAAAGATGTAATTTTTAGGGCAAAGTCGGCCCACATCTTGTGGTTAACTTTATTTCCTAATCAAAATTATTTTAGAAATATTGAAATGTATTGTGTTAAGACACAGACACCTAGTTATTAACAGTTTTGAATCTTCGGGTATTATATAGAATGATTTTACTATGATATCCTAATTGGAGTTTTTACTTAGTATTAAAAAATTCATTTGGTTGTATTTTTCCTTTTAAGCATCTTGTAAAGATATCAGGAACTTGAGGCAATTTACCCCTTAAATCTCAAAATGAAAGTTATTGATTTCCTTTAAAACTGAAACATATGATTAAGACAGTTTTCCTAATTTTTTCTTCCTCTGCCAATTAGCAGTAATCCAGATGAAAAGTGTAAAGAAGTGACTATCAGTTTACATCCTCAAGAAGGCAGCTGTGTTCATCCTCAGACTCCACTAACAAGTCAGGAAAACAGCAGGTACCTATCTACATACTGAGCTCAAAACATTGGCAACAACTCAAATATCAAAAATGGAGACAGCATTTGAATAGGTTATGACACTAAGCAGGTCATCAGTACTAAAGAAGGCAGAAACTACTTCATGAGCTGGAAATGCTTTTATTTATTTATTTTGTTCCTGGATTATTGCCATTCCCAGCGATTTTGTGTGATGATTCTGTGGGTGCTATGCCCAGGCACTGTTTTTTTCAAAGCATTCCCAGATTTTTGTGCATTTGTGCTGTGAACCTTTGAGAAGTAGTCTGTTTTATTTCTTTTCCTGGTAGAATCTAAGCATTTGCAGCCTGTGTGCTCCTCCTAGTCCTCCAGTCTCCTCCATGTGCAGGGTCTCTTAAGCATACTCTGGAGACTCACCTTGCCTTTTCCCTGGTTTCTGGCTTTCACTGAATTCTTGGCCTCCTTTGGCCTCCTTGAGCCTCTCTTATTTCTGTCCTCCACTGGGGCTAATTGCCATCCCTAACCCTTCATTCCACCTCCTTAATGCAGCCTTACCACAAAATGTTGTGTGATAAATGTTGGCCCAAAGTTTGGTATGAAAGGGGAAATGATGCCACAACTGAATCTGTCCTATGATGTAATGAACAGCTAAGCAAAAAAAATAAAGAAAAGAAAAGAAAAAGCAAAAACTAGCTACTAGAACAAGGATCTGAAAATGACAATCCGTGGGCCAAATCTAGTTGTGTATGTAAATAAAGTTTTATTGGCACGGCCATACCCATTCATTTAACTGTTAACTGTGACTGCTTACCCATCTCAACAGCGAGGTCCAACAGCTGCAACAGAGACCATGTGGCCCACAAAGCAAAAAAAATTTACTAATTGGTCCTTCTGTGGAAGAGTTTGCCCACACCTGAACTGTATCAGACTTGGAGGAATTTCTCACTGGCTATTCCTCCACTTTCAGTCTTGGATTTCCCCCTTTCCCCAGGCCTCTCTCTCATTAGATTCTTCTCCATTTTCCTCAGATCTTTACTGCATCCCTGGGGTATTTTATTCCAACTCTTGGGCCTCTTGCAAATTTAATGCTCCATCTTTCTGTATCATACAGAGCAATTCATTTGGTCCTGGCTCGCTCTGGCTATTCTAGTAATCCTAATATTTCCTATATATAGGTCCTCAGGGTGCATTCAGAAATAATAGTGTCATAAGCCTTAGGTACCCCTGTAGAAAGCAGAAGTAAAAGCATCAAATTGATTAGTAAATTTTTTTCTTTATGTCCTACCTCTTCTTCACATCAATGTGCATTAAACGAACTTGGCATTTTATATACACACATATGTCAGAAATTCTAAATTAAACAGAGGGCAATGGAAGAGACCCCAGAAAGAAGTAAGGGTTAGTAAAGGCATTTTATAGTCAACCATATAGTCAAGACATATGTGTAAACAATTCAAATTTTTCTAAACAAAAAGCTTAGAAAATAAATAAACTTTGTCTTTTCTTCTATAATAGAAATAAATTTGCCATGTCCTCTTTTTATTATCTGGCTTTCTAGTCACTTTGCTTATATCTTATACTTTTTTAAATTTTTTTTTTTAGTTTTAGGTGGACACAATAACTTCATTTCATTTTTATGTGGTGCTGAGGATCAAACCCAGTGCCTCATGCATGCCAGGCGAGCACTCTACCACTGAGCTACAACCCCCCCAGCCCTATATCTTATACTTGTTTTTCTTTACTATTTATGAAAGCAAATGAAATATGCATTTTAAAAATTCAGAATTAGAAGTTTACTGTTTAAAACTTTAGTGATCAGTTATTCTGATCTTTCTCAAATGGGTGTTCACAAATGCTTTGGAATTCATGGTTAGTTATACCAAAAAAACGTAGAAGTCATGAGATGAAAATGGCATGCTGTCCAAGGATTCCTAATGTTATCCCAGTAGCTCCAAGAAAAAATAGCATTATTTCTATATTAACATAAATAAGCACATAAGGGAGAAAAAGGCAAATAAAGAGAGATTTTGAGATAAAATATGGCAAAATATTGTGCTATCAGGGATGCTTTAAGCTATGCCTCCAAGGTTCTCAGGTGAAGCTTTCATTTTTCCTTTAATATCAGGGTGCTAGGACGGAAAAGTTATACAAAATGGATTTTAGGCCAGATAAGCTGTCACTAAGTATAAACAGACAAAACAGCAGACCATGAGAACCATGATCATGTTTACAGAGTTTTTAAAAATATATTCTACAACATTGCTTAAAATATCATTTGATTTAGATTTATTCCTTCCATTTTCTGTCTGCAACATTTTCCAACTAAGTTCCATTAACTCAGCTCAGAATTCATTCACCTAAGAAACTCTTTTTTTTTTGAAAGAGAGAGAGAGAGAGAATGTATTTTTTAATATTTATTTTTTAGTTTTCGGTGGACACAACATCTTTGTTTGTATGTGGTGCTGAAGATCGAACCCAGGCCGCACACATGCCAGGCGAGCTCGCTACCACTTGAGCCACATCCCCAGCCCCCCAAGAAACTCTTAAAGTTAGAAAAAAATATAAAAAGTACCTGCAATAAATTCCACTCAGTAGTAGATAGTATTTTTAAGTTCCTTTGCATATTATTTTACATTTGCAGGGTGGATATCTTGAGATTGTACTGATTGTACAATAGGAAATCCTGATTTTTTTTCTCCACCAATGACAACCATTTTTCTCCTATCCTTAAAACTGTACATAAATACATCCCATAGTATTTGATATTCAAGTACTTTTTGCTTATTAACTCTGCTATAATTCATTTGATTGCTCATTTATTTTTCATTTATCAGCTGTATAATGTACCATATGTTGTGCTTATATTTTTCCACAGTAAATCATTAACTTCTTGTGAGTAGAGAGACCATTTCTTTTTAATTTCCCAAAACCTCTGAGTATACAGTTAATTAAATGAAAAGTGGTGAGTAAATACTTGAAAATTAGTTTATCATAATTTCCTTTTTCCTCAACTCTTTGCACACCATTTTTACATCAAAGTACACCTCCATTGGATACATTGACTGTTGATCGTCTTTTAATAGAAAGGTAGGAGTCCTTAATAATTTTGTATCAAGTATCCTTTTTTAAGATTGGAATTTTTTCAATTTTTCCTTTTTCTTTTCATTTTTTAACTAATGCAGAAAGTAAATTATACATGGCAATGAAGTATCATGTAATGTTTGATATATACGTACATTATGTAATGTTTAAATCAGGCTTAAACATATTTATCTCCTCAAATATTACTCACTTCTTCATGGTTTATTCAAATTTCCCCACATTTTTTTAAATTGATGCCTTGTTTGTACATACTGATGGGATTAATTGTTCCATATTCATACATCCACAATATAACAATATAATTTGGCCATATCACTCCTTGGCACTTTGCCCCTCTTCCCCACCTTTTACTCCTTTGTCTCTTTCTTCTGACCTCCCTTTAAGACTAGAATTCTGACCAGAGTGTTCCACAGGAGCAAATTAATCATCTATAATCCCAGTGGCTTGGGAGGCTGAGACAGGAGGATCTCGAATTCAAAGTCAGCCTCAGCAAAAGCAAGATGCTAAGCGACTCAGTGAGACCCTGTCTCTAAATAAAATACCAAATAGGGCTGGGGATGTGACTTCGTAGCCAAGTGATCCCGAGTTCAATCCCCTACTCTGTCCCCGCCCCGCTAATTCAATCATATGTAGCCACATGATATAGATAAGGACCAAGTTAGACAGAGTCTAGCAAGCATGAAACCTTGCACCCAGGCCAGGTGCTGGGGCAGAGTGAATGACATAGATAAAGAGGCAGACACCAAAGACCTAGCTGTGTGTTGAAGGACATGAGAATGTTTGAAGAAGACATAGGTAGCAGGTGGTGCTGGGAAGCTTTGTGAGACAAAGAATAACTATGAGGAATAGGGTGGCAGTCATCACTGGGGTCAGGTGACCCAGTGGCCCTCACTAGGCAGTCTGTCCTTTGGTGGCCAGAGAAAAGAGGCTTCAACATGAACAGGGAAGCATTTGGGTATCTTGCTCTGCATGTCCTACCTCAGTGCATTCTTGACTGTAATAAGAGGAGGAGGACCTGCTTGCTGAAGCTGACCCTCCTCCAAGACTACCAGCCACTATTCACTGCCCCCACCACCACCACCCATAGTTCCGCTTTTCTGGAACAGGCTCTTTTTATTTATTTGTTTAATTCTGAGAACTCATTTTGTTTGAGAAAAGAGAAAGGGAAGGTCAAGTTACTCATTAATCTCTCTCTTATCTACTCAAGTCTCCAGTTACACCATACTTTCTAGAGCCCTACATAGCAACCACTACAGAGGGAATAAACGCTTCTAAGAGCTTGAAATTTATATGAGATGCCAGCATTCTGATTATCAGCATATAAGTTCTTGGTGGTTCAGTTTTCCTCTGTTGCTGTCATCTAAACAAAAATATCCTCTATTTCAGTGTCCCTCCTTGACCAGGTATTATAAAGCTGGAGAAATCTCCAATTACCTGTTGGCAGGAAAGGAGCCAATCGACTTCAAGAGAATAAGATCAGAGGTTCATGAACTCTGAAGTGACTTCACAGAGAAGCAAATGTGTGTACCTGAAGACGCCTAAGCTGTCCCAGGGTCCAGCAAAACTCCACCTCTTAGTCTGCATTCCTCTCACCCCTCACCCTCTTTCCTGTGCTGAAAGCACACAGCATCTAGTCAGGGGACAAGACTGTAGATATGAAAAACTGTTTCAATCATTTAAAGGAAGAAGCTGCTTTCTAGGAGTTCTGGCTTAAAAGTCTGTCATTTTCCTTTCTTATTTTAAAATGTTCATGATATGGAATGAGCTCATTATAGAGAATTTGGAAAATACAGAAAGATATGAAAATTAATGAGACATGTTAATATTAATGTCACACATCACATTATCTGCCAACCATTTTCTATATATGTTTCTTTATACAAACACATATATTTTGATTTATTAAATAGAGCCCTACATAGCGACCACTACAGAGGGAATAAACATATTCCCTCTGTATTTTATAGAGCAGAACCTACTTCTTTAAATAAATTGGAGTAAAATACATGATATATCAATTTTCATCTCCTCTAGGGAAGAAAAGCAATTTTTTTCTTCACTGGAAAGGTGCTAAATGATTGTGGTGGAGAACCGTCAAGACTGCTCAAAAGAATTATCTAGAAAAAAAAATGGAACTCCAGATATTTTCTAAGTTCTGTCTCAAAAACCCACTTTGTAACATGTTCTGAATAAAAGAAAAATTTTAAATTAAATAATAATTATTATAAATGTAACTAGTTTACTAGTATACCCTAGGTTAACTTTAAAAAGCACAACTTTTAAGAATTTATTAGTGAACGGGTACTAAGTTACACTCGGGAAGAGTAAACTCTGGTTTTCTATTTCACAGCAGGGTGACTACAGATCTAAAAAGCTAGAAGAGGGCTGCCTTGTGGCTCAGTGGTAGAGCACTTGCCTAGCACGTGCAAGGCCCTGGGTTCGATTCTCAGCACCACATAGAAATAAATAAATAAAGGTATTGCGTCCAACTAAAAAAATAAATATTAAAAAAAAAGCTAGAAGATTTTGAATGTTTTCACTACAAAGAAATGATAAACGTTTAAGAAGACATATATGTTTACTTTGATTTGAATATTATACAGTATGTACATGTATCCAAATATCACATGGTACCTCAGAAATGTGCAGTTTTTGTGTGTCAATTGCTTTGAAAAGAACTTTATCAAATCGATAATCATGCATTGAGGGCTGGGGTTGTGGCTCAGCGGTAGAGCACTTGCCTAGCACATGCAAGGCCCTGGGTTCCATCCTCAGCACCACATAGAAATAAATAAATAAAATAAAGGTAATGTGTCCAACTACAACTAAAAAATAAATTTAAAAAAAAAAATAATCATGCATTAACATCTTAAAATCAGTATCCCTATACTTTCAGTCATTCCACATCTTTATAGATCAGAAACTTGTTATGATATTATTTGCCATGATAATGATCTCTAGAAACTATCAGAATATTTGTGAATATTGAGTAATATCTTTGAATCTAGCTTTCACTAATTTCTGGGTAATTCTGTGTTTTAATCACTCCTTTAAATTTCTATTTTACCACATTTACTTTGACACCAATATAGGGATTAAGGGAGACACCAATTTGAATTTCAACTTAAAATATTGCAAGATAGAAAAAAACCCCAGCATAAGCGAAGTCCACTGACATAGACATATATATATCTGTGTATGTGTATGTATATGTGTGTGTGTGTATATATATATGTGTGTGTGTGTATGTATATATATATATATATATATATATATATATATGACTATGTATATTGACTACATACAACTTATACCATACACAAAGGGTAATTGCCTTATTATTTAGGAAGTCCTTAAAAATTAAAAATGGCTACCAACTCTCCCCACTAAAAGATGGGCAAATAACATATGGCCAGGTCACCAAGGAAACAAGGGTAACTAGTCTGCAAATTTTCGAAATGATACTCAATGGTGGGTGTTTGCTCAGTTGGCTCTTTAGTTCTCTATTATTTCTTAGAATTTGAAGAAGAAGATTTCAAAGGAAGACTAGAAACTAAATGAGAATTAGCCTTTCTTAGAATTACTATTTTCCATCACAAGAAAACAATTCTGTTTTTTTGTTTGTTTGTTTGTTTTTCCTAAAGTGGAGTGGACCAGTGAGCCATGGGATTAATAAATATTTGATGACTCTGACTTTTTAATTGCAAGAAAGCCATGAGTTTTGTTTTTTTTTCTATTTCATCAATTGTCATGGGGAATACTACATATACTACGAAAAATGCCTCATTGCCTAACTTGTATTGTTAAGTAATTCTGTTAACCTCTGGCCTTACATTTTTCATCTAAAACAGCGGCTGGGCCAATTACTCTACAAAGCTATTAATGTCTGACATTCTTTGTTTTGTTTACTTAAAAAAATAGAATAAATATGAGATGTAATGTCATTTAAATCTATGACATTTAAATAAAATTTTCACCATTAAAATGAGAAAAGAATAAAAGATTTATCTTTGCAAATCTACTTATGGAGTATAATTTGTAGTATACTTGTCTTTTCTAAGGCCTGCAAAAGTTAAGGTAGACTGAAATGAATGTGTGTTCCTTCTGAGAAATGTCTTTCTTTCTGTACTTGATTGCTTACAGAATTCCCATGAGGGTATGGCCTACCACACTCACACTCTTTCAGGTAAGAGAGAAGAAAATCAGACACAATTGCATATGAAGGTCAGCCAACTGGCAGGTGCCTACCCTGTGCAAATAGAGGCCTGATGACACTTTACCCCAACTTCCAAAAAGCATAGTGTAGATATATTAATTTAAGAGGAAAAGAATCATCTCATATCAAATTTTAAAGAAGATGTTGGCCAACATTTAATGACATCCCCCTACCATCACTCTCTCTGTGCACCTTTCTGAAAGATAGCTGTACATAGTCCTTAACCTTGTCTATTCCTCTGCCGACCCCTACGTCTTCCATTCTCTCCTTTTCTTGTGTCTTTGACAGTTTGACAAAATCTTTAGGGGGAGCTGGAGGACTCCTACTTCCTAATTGGAAGCTTTGATTCTTGACATCTATCCCTGTCAGAGCCTCAGGAGTTCCCTCTCCTTTTGAACTCAGTTACTGAAGCAACCCCAAGGCAAGGCTAAGGCATGGATAGTAACTCCACTTTACAGGTAAACTTGCAATGCCTGATATAGGAAAGTTTATTTTGTGTGCAGTTTATTACCTCACTCCATTTAGAGACAAATCCCACTTTATTTTCTAGTGTCTAAAATATTAAAAATCAAAATCTCTCAGGACTTCCCCAGCATTTGGTCAACTAATTCTAGTGGAAAACTGGCAAAGATGTATTAAATGCATTTGACACCAAGATGCCTTTATTTCCTACAGTATTTACCAAGTATTCATTGAGCACCTACTATGAATCTTGGCACTGGAGATGTTACAAGAAAACTTTATCCCTGACTCTTGGAAATTGTCTGGAAAGATAGGAAACAAGGCCCCAAACTTTTCAAATGGAAGCTCAGTTGGGTCAAATCAAAATAAGCTTTTTAAAAAATTGGTGTAGAAGTCTTCAAGTATATTAAGAAAGGCCTGAAGAACCCCAGGGATAGAACTTTTACTGACTGAAACAAAGTTTCAGTAAAACTGTAATCCTTGAATATTGCACCTGAAACTAGAATAACAAACACTAGCTAAATTGTTTCTCCTATATTTTAATTTGTTCATAAAAAAAGAAATCTTACTTCCAAGCCTGGAAATAAATAGGTAATTTTTAATATTTATTGTTGCAGACAATAATATTGTTGTCACAAACAGGTTCTGACATTGAGCCACAGAACATTACTGTCATATAGCTCACAACTGTAAATATTAACAGAAGCAACAAGTCCTGCCTCATTGAGTTTCCTATTCACTGTCTCCTTAATTATACCTCCTTTAATTGCCACCAAGGAATGTCTGGATTTTATATTCCAAAATATTCAGGCATTTATTTTATATAACACCTCCAAACTTAGTGTCTTGTGTGATTTTAAAAGTTTTGTTATTCTGGCAAGAAAAGAAAATTCCATGGCTTGGTGAATCCAGAAAGTTCTCAAGACATCTCAGATATAGAACTGTGTTAAATATACCTCAGCTCTTGTTATTCCAGAGGACCATTTGAGGTTTGTACAGTGAGCTTTTTTTTTCTTCACTGGTTGTCACCTCAAACCTGTGCCATACAGGTTTTACCCCCACCATTCTATGCATAAAACTGTCCTTGACACATCTTGACACATAGGATATAGGTTGGATTTTTTTTTTCTTTAGTCAGCCTTAGTAACAAACAGAGGGACCCTGTCTCAAATAAATTTTTTTAAAGGCTAATTTATTTTTACCTTATTCCAAGTGTAATATAGGCTCAATATAGAAAAATTAGAAAGTTAAACAAAGAAAATTAAATGCCTATGATCCTTTCACCTGTTGTTACCTTTGGTGTATTTCTACCTTGTCTCTTCTTATGTGTATCATTATGTCATTTTTGTTTTTTATGAAAGGCATATTCTGCTTTTGTATTAACCAATACATCAGTTTCTCACATTGATATTCTTTCACAATGTTTGCCACCTAGAATTTCATCACATAAAGGCACCTACTAAAAATTCTTTAATACTTTTTTTGCTGGATATGTATGAGTTTATACTTTTCCATAATTATAAACCGTTGTTCACAGCTCTGATGATTTCTTTGGGATAAATTCTGAGTGAGAAAGTCATGTCACCTTTAAGACTTAACAAATTGAAGTGTTAAGTGTTGATCTCCCTATGTGTTCATTCAAACTGTCAGTTTGAGAGGAAGAAAATTTCGTTTGTTCTTTTAATGCCAGTTCTGTTAGTTTTTCTTTTACCTTTCATCCAGGTTTTCTCAGGACCCTTCAGATCAATCTTGCTCGTTCTTAATTTTCCAGCACTGTGCTAGAGATTATTTCAACAAAAAATTTTTGCCCTTTATCTTCTTATCCTAAGTAATTCCTACCCATCCCAAATCCTATCACACTCATTCCTTCCAGGAATTTTACACTTATCCTGTTCTTTCATTTTTCATGCATGTATATTTTGTCTCCCATAAAACTTTTAGTTCTGCTGGCAGACGTGGCGGCACACTCCTGTAATCCCAGCAGCTCCGAAGGCTGAGACAGGAGGATGACAAGTTTAAAACCAGCCTCAGGAATTTAGCAAGGCCCTAAGCAATTCAGTGAGACCCTGTGTCTAAGTTAAAACAAAACAAAACAAAACAAAACAAGAAAGGTCCGGTGGGGAGTCTGGGGATGTGGCTCAGTGGTTAAGCGCCCCTGGGTTCAATAATTTAGTTGTTCTAGGACAAGGGTCCTAAGGGACTCCTCTAAGGAGTCCCGATATGCTAATAACCAGGAGATGCTATTTTACTTTCCCATGGGTTTTCTCAAGGAAAGAGGAGGAAGAACGAATTACCTTAGGGATTGAGGGTGCGGGGGTCAAACCTGTGAGATTTTGGAGACTGAAGAGAAGGCCCTGAGGAATTTAGCAGCAGGCATTTAAGCAAGGAAGACTTGTTAGTTGAAGACTTGTTACTTGAAGACAAGTATTGTTCCTAATAATGCCTGATTAATGCCAGACACAGAGTAAGGGCCCAGGCAGTGCGGCAGCCTAAGGCTCACCAGGATTAGTCCCAAGGGGTGCTGGCCCCACAGTGACTCGCAGCCCGAGCTCTGGATTTCTATTTTTAGATCGCTGTTCTTCAGGCCTGAGTGGCCGGAAATGATGACAAAGCCAGCAGTTAGTTCCCTTTCCACCACTCCACAGTCAGGTGGTAAACAGTTTACAAAAGAGGCGGTAAGCCAACCCTTTCCCTCAAGCCAGCGCCTGGAGAGTGGTCTGCAGAGAACGCAGCCAGAGCGCCGTGAGGCTCTGGAGGAGCTGACTGCAGCTGATAACCCGGGTATCGCTCCAGCCCGGAGCACCCCGGGTCCCCTGGAGGCCCTGGAGCAAAGCGCGCCGAGACCCCGCCCTGATGTCGCCGGATAGGCGCAGTGGCTCCGCCTAGAGTCACTTCCGACAGGGGCGCTGGCCCAGCCACGCCCACTTTTCTGGCGGCCCTGCACACTTTGTGAATTTGGGGATTGTTGCGTATGACAAACGGGCTCAAAAGGGACTCCCCTGCTTGGCTGGCACTGTTTTCCTGTTCATCTTCTGAAAGGTGATGGTGTCTTCCGCGCCCTGCACGGCGCTTCCCGGCCGCGGAAAGAGTTCCTTTACTTTACAGCGGTGCCTACTAGGGATCTTTCTAGCGACTTTGGCATGCCTGCTGTTTACACTCTCTGGTAAGAGCCTGAAGAGGTTGCGCACTCGACAAAGAGGCTGGAGCTTGGTTTGGGGGCCGCGGGTCTGGGTGGACCTGCGGTTGACTGAGGTTGGGGTAGAGGACGCGGCCAGGGTTTTCCTAGGGGTGGTGCGTTAAGCGCTTCCAGGACGCGCACTCGGGCTGGGCACTGTGGCGACCCTGCTGTGCAAGAAGTGAAGCCCTGCTCTGGCGGCTGGAGCGGTGCCTGAGAGGCGGAGGTTCGCCCTGGGTCTAGCTGTGGCCCTAGCAAACACTCGCCGCGTTTCCGGGGTTGAGCCAATTCTGGATGGGGAGCGCGCATGGGAGCTCCAGGTGAGGCTTATAGAATGCTCAGGTGCAAGGAGGTGTGGCTAGGGTCCGTGCTGTCCGGGGGTGGTTAGAGTTTGCCCGGTATTCCCTGCACAGGTTAGTGCCTTGGAGAAAGGGGCTGCTCTTTTGGGTCTCGCTGTAACCGCAGTAAGAGTTGCAGGGCGTCTGCGGTGCCTAAAGGAGCTGAGCTGTGGGACACCTGGCAGGAGACCTGGCGAGGCATTGTTCAGTGTGCTATGCAAAAGTGGCCTGCTCTGCAGTGCCAAGGTAAGCTCACTGTTTGGCTCTGGGGAGGGTAGGTTGCCCTGCTTTTGCCGGGTGAGAGCAATTTCTCAGTGTCTGAGTTTAGACGGGGTGGGAAGGGTGCACCATGTGAAGCTTCTTTGTTGCCCCACACAGAATTGGTCTTGGTGTACAAGTGGATGGGTTTTTTTTTTTTAATTTCAATTTCTTTTTCTTTTTTAGTTGTAGATGGACACAATACATATTTATTTATTTATTTATTTAATGTGGTGCTGAGGATCGAACTCAGTGCTGTTATGGGGAGACGCCTCAGAAAGCACTCTTAAGTCCGAATTTTAAATTAAAAGAGAGCTTTGTTTACCTGGCCAAGGACTGTCCTCCCACAGAGCTTGAGTCTCTGAGGTGGGTGACAGTCCCTGCCAGGTAAATAAAGCTCTCTTTTAATTTAAAATTCGGACTTAAGAGTGCTTTCTGAGGTGTCTCTCCATAACATTTGGTGCCTTGGCCGGGAAAAGAAGAGATATTTATTTATTGTCCCATAAATGGGACAATGCTCGGAAACACCCAGGAGACCCAGTGGGCTGGAGACAACCTGGGGCAGTCCTCTGAGGAGAACTTCTCAGACCGGGGTCCTCTCCTCATTGGCTCCTGCCAAACCTGCAGTCTGCCTATTTGAGAGCACTTAGTTCTCCAGGGAAAGGTAAGCTTGAAACTTAAAACTTGGTTTGTGTGGATCCACAGTCTGGGGACATTAGGGAAGGCTGGACGCAGCACATACTTCTCGGTCCAGGGCAGTGTCCATCCAGAAGTCGCTCACTGGCCCATCTGGGGTTAAAAACCCTATCTAGGGGCTGGGATTGTTGCTCAGTGGTAGAGCGCTCGCCAGGACCAGGGTTTGATTCTCAGCACCACATAAAAATAAAGGCATTGTGTTGTGTCCATCTACATCTAAAAAAAAAATATTTAAAAAAAAAATATCTAAATCTCTGGTCAGTTAGGTTTGTTTATGATGCCTTGTCTGTTGTGTGTCTCACTGTTGGTCTCTGAAAGGAAAGTGACCACAACACTCAGAGCAACCAAAAGATCTTTATTGCAGCAGTGCAACAAAGAGAAAGGAAAGAAGGAAAGAGAGAGAGAGAGAAAAGAGATGAACAGGGAGAGAGCAAGAGCAAGAGAGAGACAGAGAGCACGGGTAAGAAAGATAAAGAGCAAGAGAGAGAGAGCAAGAGAGAAAGAGCAAGAGAGAGGCGGGCCTGGCAGGAGGGAGTTTTTATAGCCCAAATCTAATGGGGCCTCTGGGTCTGCAAGCTGCCTTGTTGGCCCAAGGGGGGGTTAAGTGTTCAGCCTTAAGCAGGGTTGAATGTTCAGACTTGAGGCAAACAGGTGATAAAGGACCAGATAGAGGGGGGTTTGAGTGCGTGGGCTATCTTGCAGCCAACATCTGTTCAGCCTGCTCTGAACCCAACAGTCTCAGTCTCATTATGAGTCAAAGTCAGTCCACTTTGTTTTGTACATCCTTAAATGTTTTTTTTTTTTTGTCTTACTTTAAAGAGTTTTCTGAGAAGAGGAAGCATTACATGATGTTTTATCACTAGTTTGTTGTGGTGTGAACTGATAAATACAATCAATAAGAGTGTAATAGGTTATAGATTAGTAAAAAAAAAAATACAGATTATAGGTATAAGATTTTGATAAGTGAGATAAGACAATTATAAAGCAAGAACTGGCATAGGCAGCCCTAAGACTCCATTTTGCTGCCTTCTATTAAAACTGTTACAAGAGCCGTTTCTGAGAAACTGAAATGAAAGCTGTTTTCTTATTAAAAAAAAAAAAAAATGTCTTTCGATGCTGAGAGCCATAGCCAAGTAGGATGCATGGCATTTTTGGTTGAAAGGTGACCCTGCTCAGGGATTAGGGTGGCCGGGAGTTTAGGGTGGATCCTGCTGGATTAGGGTGGCTCTGGGTTTAGGGTGGATCCTGCTGGATTAGGGTGGCTCCAGGTTTAGGGTGGATCCTTCTGGGAATAGGGCGTAGGGCATATCCTGCTGCCTCAGGCGCCCGCTCCTTGAGTTCCCGTTGAGTTCTCAAGGGGTTCTGAGAGAATTGGTACGCAGAGCCGGTGGAGGGAGTGTATTTTTCCCAGAACGTGCGTGTAGAGGCAGGTGAGAGTTCGAGGAATAAAGAGTTGCTGTTTGAATCTACAAGGCTTTGTGGTGGCTCGGTTATTTTGTGCCCAGACAGACTGCAGCATTTCTGTACTTTGTACCCTACAAATTGTACCCTACAAATTGTACCCTACTCAGGATGCAGCAGTGGTCGTGGTGAGCTACATCCTGGGTTTGAAAGCCCTTGTGGGTCTACATGACCTTGAAGTAGATCCTCACCCAGCTGACCCCCGCCCAAATTCACTTATGTGACTGTTTAGCACCTGCTTGAACCCAGGACTGTGGTCAACTGAACTGCAAAGATAATGCTATTTTAGCTTCTGTTCATCACATGCTTGCTGGCTGGAAAATATCAGTCCTGCTTAGAGCCCACAGGTTCCACTTATCAATATTTTAATTTCTCTGACTGGCTAGCTTACATGACGATAAGCAAGTCACTGAGTTGTGGTTTTTTGTGCTTCTATTCTCTTTGGATGGACCAGGAAGCTGCTGTCCTCCCACAGAGCTTGAGTCTCTGTGGTGAGTGACAGTCCCTGGCCAGGTAAATAAAGCTCTCTTTTGATTTAAAATTCGGACTTAAGAGTGCTCTCTGAGGTGTCTCCCCATAACAGTGCCTCACACAACCCCAGCCCCAGATGTTTTGGTTTTTGTCTATGGAGTTATCTTCCTGTTCCCAACCAATACAGATCGCATTAGATATTATAACCTAATTTTGGGGGGGGATGGGGTGATTGTTTCCCTTATAGGGTCATGGTTCAGAGGAGCAGTCTATAAACATCACTAGCCAAACCTAGTGGGAAATTATCCTCACCAACAGCTCAGTAACTAAGGATGAAGGCCCATTCCACTGTTTGTTGTGCCTTTCATTGAATGGAATAAATACTTTTTTCAAAATATATGCTTGCCAGGTGCAGTGGCACACTTATAATCCCCACCACTGGAGAGACTGAGCCAAGAGGATCACTAATTCAAGGCCAGCCTCAGTAATTTAGTGATGGAGGCCTAAGCAATTTAGTGAGGTCCTGACTCAAAAAATTTAAAAAAGGTTGGGAGGTATGGCTCAATGGTTAAGCATCCCTAGATTCAATCCCTGGTATATATATATAGAGAGAGAGAGAGGGAGGGGCGGGGAAGAGAGATATATGATTATTGTATAAAGTTTACACAAAATTAACCATTTTTTGTATCTCCTGTTTTTTAATACACTTTGTGTGTTTCTATACCCATGTTCTATGTAGGATCCTATTACATATACAGCTGGTATGCTGCATTTCTTAGCAGCATTCATTGAACAATATTTGACTTCTAGGTTGGTTCCAAGTCCTGTGCTGGTCCTGAGGTCATACTGGTAGACAATAATAGGCCATGCCTATTGCCATGGTCCTTCTTTCATTAATTGTTTACACATACATAAGTGCACAAAGCAGGGACTTTATTTTGCTGTTATATCCCCAGTGCCAGACTCGTAGTAGGCAATCTATAAATATCTGCTAAGATGTATTGGAAGTAACAGACATTAACCAATGAATAATATTAATGCATAGATACAAACCAACTGGAGTGCTCTAGAGGAAAGGAGCATGCTTCCCTGCATTTAACAAGTGACTAGAGGGAAGGTGACATTTCTGCTCATCAAATAGGCCGAAGGTCTTTCACTGTATAATCTAAAGCTGTGTCTTATCCTGCAAACTCAGCTGGACTGTTAACACCCCTCAGAGAGACCTTCCCTGACTACCGTGTTTCTGGTACACACACACCAGTGCAAATGCCTCCTAAATTGTAATCACCCTTCTAAAATTTTCTATTCTCTCTCCCCCCCACCATTAGAAGGCAGAGAGATGTTATCTGTCTTATCACATTTATTGTTCCAAATGGCCATTTTTTTGATTCAATATCAACATTCTTATATAAACACGAAGTACTAAAAAAAAAAAAACCCTAAGTTTCCTATTTGGTGAGGATTTAAGTGCACAAGAAAAATTCCTCCTGCCTGCAGGAGAATAGTTCTTTAAATAACCATCCGTGGGCTGGTCTTTCTGTGGAGCTAGGACAGGGGCAGCTGAGGGTCAGAAAGGACCTGCCTTCCCCCATATATAGGCTCTCCAGGGCTCCTAATACTCTAGTCTTGCTTCTTATTGATCGCTAAAAAGTTCATTTCAAAAGGGAGAGAGGAGAATCAAGCATAGTGATGATAGAAAACAAAAGGAATTATTTTTTTTAAGAATATTTTTTAGAATAGGCTTTAAATTAGAAGTTTAAGAAA